ACGTGCAACATCAGCCACACGCTGTACGCCGTGCGATTCACAGCGACAAGCGAAGGATACACCCAACAAAGGATAACCGCAACAAAAAAAGGTGCACAAAGTGTATACAAAATGAAGCGCGCAACGTGCCACACCAACGGCATGCGGCATAAGGCATGCGACTCGTTGTAATGCAACGTTGACTCTCTTAGCTGCATATGGTGAATGTGGCGAGTGGCAAGTGCCATGCCTCCCAAATGGCATATTGCGGCTGCTACTAACGATGGCTTAACGGACAGACAAGCTTAAAAGACTGTCCAAGCGAGTTAACTGTTTTTTTTTTTTTTGTATTTTTGTTGTACACTTTTTGTATTTCTTTCACATACAAATAACAATAGCAACAACAGCGGCAACAACGGCAACAGCAACAGCAGTTGGTGAATTGCGAAAAGTGTTGCGCGTACAAAAGGAGGGCAGTGGCAGCGCCGCGTTCGCCGCAGCACGTTACAGATGAAAATTTTCGGTAAGAAAAATTGCGACCAGAGATTCTTATAAAATATTCATGCATATTACGCGACTTTAGCGCTACGTGTGTGCGCTGTTGTTGCGGTCGTTCGTTGTTTGTTGTTGGCTTGTCGCTATTGTGAGCGGCAAGTGACGACCTCGTTGGCAGTTACCGTGTGGCCACAGCCACTTTCGTTGCATTTCTTTCGCCGCTTTAATAAACTGAAAATCTCTTTTCTTTGTTCTATTTATTTATTATTTTTTGTAGTTGTTGTCATGTTTTTAGATTGTCTTTGGCGCTGTTCGACATTTTTTATCCACTTGAAGCTTCAAATTGTACGTGTCAACTGAATTATTAGGTAGCATAGTGTAGCGTTGTGGTATGTGCATATGACGTGCCACAGCCTTGTCGTTCAGCAACTAGGCTGACAGTTGTCGAACTTAACTTGCAACATGTGACCATTTCGGTTGTTTGTTCCGATTACGTTTGTCTATGTTGCCCCAAATTGATGTGTTGCTTTAAGATGTCATGCGGCTATTGAGAGCTTTCGAAAGGGAATAATTGATGTTATGGTTTAGAAGTAACCGGGCAAATTTGTTGCAACAACCATGTCGTGAAGTATAATTCTTTGATTTACCGAAAGCTGGATGCAAGATACCTCTCACTCCGGTGAACATTTTGGAATCAGCGTGAGACTCTTTTAGGTGTTTCACGCTGAATAATTGCAATTCTTGAGAAATGATTGAAGACAGCCCTACTTCAATAAAATTTCTTTAAATTATACACAATCCTCAAGTTTGGTTAAAATTTCATAATGAATTCTTCCGTCGAATCTGAATCCTAGTATGGATATATGATAGTCGATGCATCGATTCTTTGGACATTCTTGAAATGTGTCCAATTGAAGACAAAAGGTGAAAATTTGTTGAAATATTGGCGATCCTCACTTGGCTGTGCGATGCTTATCATGAATCATTATGCCAAACCCGGTTTTCATTGTTGGTTTAGGTCAATCCTTGTATAGATGCCCCGCAAATAGACGAAACCGATTACCAGAAACCAAAATTTAGGCTAGGTTAGTGTTAAGGTAGAAAAATGTGAATCACTGTTTTAATTAGAGAACACTCAGGGCAGTCAAACTTGTGATAGCCCCAGCATTTAAGATAGCTCATTATAGATCGCCAAGAAGGATAATGAGTTTAATAGATAACTGGATTTCGGCTTAGGCTATAAGCTAGCACTTTTGGGGCAAGTGTGATTCCAGTTTTATGTTTCCTTCCATTACCTCTACCTTCACAAACTGACCGTCTAAATAAGGTTTTATTGCTCTTGCACCTTCTGGTTTAAAAGATTTGTATATAATAAAATTGAAATTGTGCGAGAAAAGTTGCTACTATTTTAAAACCCAAATAATTCCGGATTAATCATGTACTTATATCTTCTCTTTCACTCACCCTGCAGCTGATATATAAGAATGAGTAAAGTTGTTTTCTTTAAATGTACTTTTTTAATCTAAAAATTACTGGTATTTTAGCCTAGGACCGCAGTAAAGCAAAGTCTTTTTAATTGTCTTATGAAGAGCTTGTACGAAGGAATTACCTCGTGCTTCCAGTTTACAGTACTCTAACACTTCCCTTCGTTTCTCTCTCTCACTCCCTCTCTTTCGTTCTTTTGCTCACTCTCGTTCTTACCTTTACCATAAATAGTAGGTAAATAGCTCTTAATCGAATAGTCCATAAATTTATCACAGAAGTTTACATTTCCTTAGTAGACGAAATATGTAATTGTGTTTATGATGGTTATTCCGGCTCTGTCAAATGGTGAGTTAGATGTTCTTATTGACGTTATGTAACGGTAGATCGAAGAAATGAACTTTTTCGACAGGGTCCATAGAGGAAGAGATATTAAATAAGCTTGAGAGAGCTTTAAAAGAGATCATGAGGCAATTCATTTTGTATGTCCAAGTCTAGATAAGTATGAGTTAGACTACAGACAATATTCAGATCACAATACCTCCAAGGTTCCCCCTGGCTGTCGAGGTAACTTGCTGGAAATCGTTCAAGAAAAGAAAGTTAGTGGACGCCTCAGGTGCCCTTCCGTAGCACAAAGAGCTATAAGAATGACGTATAAAAGGCTAGTATTGTCAATGAGCTGTAGAGAGAACTTACTTATGATGCAGGAAGATAGTTCCGTTTTAATATATTGTATATTATCAGAAGGGGTAAATTTGGAGAAATAATGGCAGAGTTTTTTTTCAGTAAAGTTTTAGTGATATTAAGCGTCTGAAAGAAGTTATATAGTGTTCTTTAAGTTTGAATTCTAGTAACTCACAGTGGACGTTATATAGAACCTTAGCAACAGTAAACCTTTTCTAAGCAGTTTGGATGGTAAATAATTCAACTTAAAATCGGTTTCTTCCAGAATCAATTGAACAGTTCGCAAAAATAAATAAAGTCATATATATTTATGTATATATGTATATATGTATAGCAAACCCTTCACCACACAATAAACGTGCGCGTAATAAATAAAAATTCGACCTTCCCAAACGCACCTATGAGCTGTGGCACAGCAAACACTTGCCTACAAGATTTTATGCTAATTTTATCACTTTTGTGGCATGTCTGTCCAACTGTCCGGCTGTCACTACTGTGACAGCACATAAATACTCATAATTTATTAATTTCTCGATGCGAATGAGTGCAACGCCACAGGAATCGCTAAATGCCGCAAAACCAACGAATATGGCGTGGCCGGTTGCATGCATTGTGTCCGCCGGCACCGACGAAAGCGCCAAGCCAAGACAACAAGTGGCGCTATGACGCGCTCACAAGCCTCCGCACCGTGCAACAACTGAAAGGACGGTGTAAAAAAAAAATATATATTGGTAGCAGTGCGGCACACGCACCACTCAATGGTGCCCAAGAGTCAATTCAATGCGCGTTCGTTTCGATTTTTCATTCGTTCGTTCCTTCGCATTTTAACGCTTCCCCACAAAATGTCTCAATAAGACGCGGTTAACTTCTGTATTTCGTGCATTTTTTGCTTGATATTCGTTTATTTTCGTTAGTGTTGCAACAATGAGGCCTACACAGTGCTCGCAAAAATGATAAAAGCTCCATGAGACAAAGCCCCGCAATTGGGTGTGTTGAGAGAGGTGGCGGGGTGCAGAGTTTCATTGTCATAACGCTGTTAGGCACCACCTTGCGACCGACAGCTTCCGCGGCAGCCACTATGACACTGCGTATCTACAACGGTCTGGACTGTCACTTGGCGCTTTTATTGCCACAGCCAAATGCCGCTTGTGTGTAGAGAGCGGGAGAGCGAGACAATGTGGCATGGTTGCGACCACTGCAGTGGCCATTCAGGCGTTCGACCGCAAAGTTATGAAGTTAACTGGAGCAAAGGTACATAAATAATAATCGTAATAATAATTTCATCATTGAGTGTCGGTGATTTATATACGTTGAGCTCGGCGAACGCATGCGGCATATTGAATGCCAGCGAACGGCATGCGCGTGCAACACACGCACCACTTGATCAGCGGCACAGCCAACTGTTGCATTCGTGGCGACGACAGTTGCATGTGCGCTGTCGCCGCTCTTGTACAACCCCATTTATGGTGCATAAATGGTGCAGCAACATCCCTCGACGACATTTGCTCCACTTGTTCCAGATTTTGTTTTATTTTTTGTTGTTATTATTGTATTGTTGCATATTTCCATGCACTGCAGGTAGGAGACTAAATCAGCGCTCAACCCACTCCGCCTGGCCTGCATGTGCAACAGCTGCCTACTGGTGTTCAGCGAGTGCCAGTGGTATTCTTGTCAGTGTTTGTGTATGTGTGTGTGTGCGCTTCGAACTTTTGCTTGTCATAATTGTGAGCGATTTATTGTCATCGCCGATGATTTATTTATTCTCTGGTATTCTTTAAGAAATTCACAGATTCTCTGTTGTATTCGAAACGATTTTATTATAGATCTCTATGTGCGTACACTTCTTATTTATTTTATTGCATTTCATTTACGTATTTATAAATTTATGTAGTGCCCAACAAAGTGGACACATTTGCTCGCTTCCGGGTATTAATAAAATTCGCACGCATGCATACAGTAGTGTGTGTACTTGTACGTAGGCAGTGGCGTTGGAGGAAGTGTTTAGAGGGTTTAGTTGCGTTCAAAACCCCTTTAACGGCAGCCTCTAAGTTGGCTGTTGAATAATTATTAGAGGACCAATTATAAAAGGAAACACTTCATAACGGTCTACCTGGGGCTTCGAACTCGGTCAGAGATTTTCATCTTCAAAGCAAGTTAGGTAACTAGCCGCCACCAGCGCAACTCGCAACGAAAGTATATTTTAAGATTGTGAAGATAAGCAAATATAAACCAATCTTACTTAAAACCATATGTTTTAACTGAAAATAATATTTAATATTAGACCATAAACAGTCGGTAAGAAACTAAATCTTAACAGAATTCGTAAAACCAAGTAAACATTATTCCGCCTACTGACTTACCAGAACGCATATAAAGAACGGTTATATTCGTTATTTTATGGTTTGCTTGGTGGTACTTCGCCAACTGGCAAATGTTACGGCCTATAAGTTTGGTCAGACTCTATTTTCTTCAGTAATAGATAGCTGGAACGGAAGCAGAGTATTTTATAGTGGTAGCTTAAGATACATATGTACTAGGGTGGTAGGGTTTTTTTTTTGCTAAGCTAGAGGGTAAAATTTGTAGATTATAAAAAACGAAAACTTTTGGGAAAAACATTTTTTTTAACATACTTTTAAAATAAGTTTCGAGCTAAAATTTTTATTTCGTAAAAAAATTTTGATAAGTGTTCTAGAAACTGTGGAGAGTCCTCTTTCTGGTTAATTAAAAGTTATCAACTTAAAAAAAATGTGTGTGGTCATTATTGGAGTATTAAAAAGGAGTCTTTAATGACAACATGTTTTACTTAAGCGTTAAAATAATTTTGAGTCAGAAACCGTCAAATTCGGTAATTTTTATTGTATATAAATGTGAAGAGTTTAAACCAACAAAAATTTTACTTTAAAGGTAATTTTTTTTCCAAAAATTGTCTTCTTTTATAATCTACAAATTTTATCCTCAGGCTAAGCAAACAAACAAATTTTTTTTTTCGCTCCACCCTAATATGTACATATGAATGATGCACACTTCGTTTTCAAGACTAAACTAAGAGAACTATAGAACTTACGAAGTTGGCACGCACGAAATTCGTAAAGGAACTTTGCAATCAGAATCTGTGGCGAGTAAGCTCATAAAATCCTTCTTCTTCTTCTTCGTCAGAGCCAGAGTTTCGTACTTCGGTTTGATTCGAACTGTGTCAATAAAGTTAGAACTCTCTTTGAAGCTATCAACTTAACGCAAAACTGAAAAGATGTTGCACATCCTATTGAACCTGTAAGCCGAATTAATTGAACTACATCAATTTAAATTAGGAATAAGTTAAAGGGGTCTAGAAAACAAAAAAGAATTAGAACCAAAAGCAAAAAATATTGATAATTAAAATGGGTTGACGAAATCAAGAGTGTAGATGCTCAAGCATTCAGTGTGTTTACAAGTCATTGAAATAAAATGATTTTCCGAGTTTATAGTAAGAGAACCAACTTCTATCTAAATACTCATTCGGCTTTAACATAGAGTTTAAAACAGTAGTCCTTTAAATACTTCCGTCTGCTTATTACTGGAGGTACTTTCAGTTTTTCTTTTTCTTTCACAGAAACACAACGGAAAGGCATAAAAAAATCTCAGATAGGAACTAGGTACTAAATATCTATAAGGTCACAATGCCATGATAAATACGTACACGGTCACATTTTTTAGTTATCTTCTATAATTATTAAACTGGCTGAGAACAAAAAAGAAGTCATACTAGGAAGTATTAGGAATGTTAAGCAAAGAAGGTACATTGATATCCAAGTGGATGAATTCTTGCGATTAGATCGGCCATCAGGGCCCCATACAGAAACCAAGCGGATCGAACTAAAAAAGAATAAGGTCTTAATGTACGAGTACAGCGACGGATGCACACCTTATAGAAAGGAGGGTGGACTCACAGACTTATATTGAACGTCCATAGATGTACTGCGAGTCAACATGGAATCTGAGTTTCTGCCCGACTCAAATATTTAGTAGAAAAGACAATTGGCAAACCTCATCCAGTATATGGATCTTAAAATATTTTGTCACTTCCTTTAAGTAATTCCTAAATCAGGGATTCCGAAGGAGAATCAATATTTCGGAATAGGTTAAGACGCTTAAGTTCAGCACTTTAGATTTCAATATATTCCCGAACTATAAAAATTTTCTAAATGTAGATGTTGCTGAGAATTGCTGGTGAATTGATCGACTTGGATCTTAAGGACGGTAGTAGGTGTTAGACTTTCAGAATCATTTCAAATTCAACTGTACCTTTTCGAGCATAAAATAGGGTATAGGTAAAGTGGCTGTCTTTCGACATACCTAGGCCTATAGGAGGCCCATTGTGATCACGGACATATTTAATATAAAAGTTGTACAGGAATCGCTATTAATTAGAAAATTGTAGCTTTTCAGTTAACTTAGTCGACGTACCACCAACTTTAAAGCTTCAGAATACAATATTATGCCTCTGCCAACCTTGCAACATATTCACCATTATTTGTTGCAACAATTCAATCTTTAAAATTTGTAGCTATTTCCTAATGAAGCATTTTAGAGCGCTTATCGGGCAACATAAAAGCTGCTTAATGACCGCTTAGCCTCTTATACAAATCTCAATCTAAGACGGCAACTTGCAGAACGCATAAATACAGACAGACTACGCCACCAATGAATTATTTGCCAAATGCACTTAAATGTAGATTTCGAGACAAGCGAAGGAGAAAAATGTGAATTTCATGATTTACGATTTTGACATATACGTGCAACATGCAGCAATCAGAAGCGCGGCAACAGGATAAATGGCAATAAATGTACAAACGATATTTGTTGTTGTTGTAGTTGTTTGTAATTTTGAAATTTATTTTCGTTTTTCATGCCATTGGCGATGAGCTAAGGAAATATGACGCACACTAAAACTGCTATCTGTGCTTGCAACAAATTTCATTCATGCAAGCATACATTCATTCATACAACTGCATTGTTGTTGCAGCTAATACGGTTTGGTATTGTTCCAAATTTTAATTCAGCAACTCATTGTCTACGCCAGCTGCCTTGAAGACGGCCACGCAAGACGCAGAGCGAAGACGAAGGCGTAAGGAAAAAGGTAAAAGAAAGCAAATCGCCGATTGCCAATACGGGACTATTGGGGAGCAAATGTGACAACAAGTAAAACAGCAACGGAACGGGCGGCAACAACTGTGACAATCCCAGTTAGTGTGTCAAGACGCTTGTGTAGGAAAGCCAGAGCTTGCGACAGGAGTCAGCAGCCAACAGCCAAGAGTCAACTGTATGTGGCAGCGTTTGTGGCAACAATTTAATGCAACTACTTAATGCAGTTGTCCTTGGTGTTTGCCTGCGTCCGTCTGCTCATCCTACACGCCGCATATTCCATTAAGATTTTTGGCCTTTTCCGCTTTTTCTTTCTTCATTGGGTTTTGTTTTTTGCTTTTTTTTTGCTCTTGCTTTTTCTCCGTTTGCTTCGTGGAGCGCACAGCTTATTTGTTGCTGTTGCATGTTTAGTTTTTACGAGTGTGTTGTTTGTTTTTATTGTTGTTGTAGCTGTTGGTTTCTCGAATTTATGCAATGGCTTTGGCGTTTCCAGACAGCTTCTTCGCCAATGTCGCGCCGCATCTTCGGTTAGCTTGCGCTTCCTTTCCCCCCCCCCCCCCCCCCCCCCGCCAAGTTTGTCCCTTCACCCGCTGGGCATTTGGTTTTTACTTTGCAGCAAAGAAATTGGAATCAGCTTTTAATATAATTCAGTGCACTTTTTTGGAGGCGCATCTTGCCACTTCTTGTAAGGCAGTTGCCGTTGCTTACAACTGCGGCATGCGGTATCATATACACACACGCACACATACAAGTGTAGAATAAATGATGACATTGCTTTCGCATTGGCGCTCAAATGAATTATGAAATAATTTCTTTTGTGCGAAAGGCGACATTTTTGCCACAACCAAAGTGTTAAGCAATTTAACGCTTTTTTCCACGTCACTGTACTTATGCTGACTGCGTGTGTGTGTATGTATCTGAGCGCTTGGTTTGCTGGCCGCCCGCAGGGGTGAAAATTACAGTTAAATTGAATTGTATTTAAATTGTGAATAATTTCGTAGTTTTTGTGTGGCTTCGAAGAAAAAGATTTAGTAATTAGTGTATGGATCAGTGAAAGCTTAAAATTCGATTCAGTGAATACAAAAGTGAGCAGAGATTTCGAAGATATTGTGGTTTTCATTCAAAAACTATTTTAGAGGTAAAAGTGATTTTTTAATGAATTTCTCGCTTGCTCACATACTGTTTTAATAACGACGATAACGCCACCAGCTTTTTGCTTTATATTTTACCTACTTAAAGTTAAGTGAAAGCTTAGTGAAAGCTTAATGAAAGCTTACCCACATAAGGCCATGTATTTAGGGCCTGGCGACTAGTTAGTATAGCGAAAGCCGAAAGAGATTCATAGCTAAGGATTTCAAGCCCATTAGCCTATCCTCGTTTCTGTTGCAAACTTTGGAGACGCTCATGGACCTGCACATTAGGAATAGAATACCCAACGGTAAATTGTTGAGGGCTCAGCATGCCTAGAGCAAAGGCAAGCCAGTCGATACTGCGTTGCTCGCTGTAGTCTTATTTGCGACCGAACTGTCATAGCGGATTGGGGTAGTGCAGAGTTATCTCGAAAGGTTAATAGGCGCACTCCGGTACCTTTCTCACCGCTTTGGATAATGATGGTAAATAATCTATAAAAAGAGCTCGATAAACGGCGCTGACGGGTGATAGTCTACGCTGAATAATTTATTCGAAGATTCTAGCTTTGCCTTGAGCAGAAAAAGAATTAAACATTTCTAAGCACCTTCTTACTAAGTTAAAAAACAATATATTTGCTGCGAAATCAAATTGTGGCAAGAATTTGCATCTAACCTCCTTGTCGAGTGTTGCTATCAACAGGCAAGTGTTGGAATGTCAAAAATCGTGTCAACAACGCCAACATAAAGCAACAACATAGCTGTCACACCAGCAAAAACACCAACAACACTACATATCAAAGCAGGCAACCAGCTGGCGTGAGTGCAACACATTTGAGGCAAACGAAATGAACTTTGCACGCGTTGCAAATATTTCCCATGCTTGCAACAGCGCACAACAAATGAACTTACATAAATATATCGAACGTACCTTGATTGCCAGCATAGAAACAAATGCGTGCCACAAGCTAATATCAGCCGGCAGCGGCAACAATTTATCTAGCAAATGCTGCAACAACAAAACAACAACAGCAACAAAGCAAAAGTCAGCTATCGTAACTGTTCAATTGTCCACCCACATGTGCAGTGTGTTGCAACAACAACAACAATAACAACGTTACTAAATATTGCAACAGACGAGACTGGCTGGCCATAACAATCGACACATTGCCACGCATTGTCAAAGGAGCACTTGCCACATACTCTCAAGCAACGAATGTGTGCACCATACTGCCACATTTGGCTAGCTGGCTGGCTGGTTGGCTGGCTGCCATCCAAATCTAATCTGTGGCAAACATGACCGAGACACTTTTAGCGATATCAAGTGTGCAATATTCAAATTTTTCTCAAGTACCTTAAAATGACCAGCTATCGACTGGAGCGCAACGTGCCACATGCACTTGCAACTATAAGACGCCAATTGTTGTTATTGTTGCTATTATTGCAAACATGGTCGCTTTCAATTGTCTATGCCACAAGGTATTTGAGCACGCACACCGCATCCATCCGCCGCTCCGTCCGCCCTGCCAACCATTGTCTACATGCTAGCACCATTGAGGCGGGTGGGAGGCTGTCCGTACTTATCGTGTTAGCGACTCATGCCATGCTGCCCAGCGCAACACGGCTAACACTTGCAACATATTCGCGCTCAATGGCGTAATTTATGTTCATTACCTTTGAGGTCGTTCGTTACTCGCTGGCGCGCTGTTGCTGCAACCTGGCGGCGTCACACACACGGCATTCACAGCTGCACGCGCCGTTGTTGCTGTTGTCGTTGTCGTTGCTGTTTTCTTTATTGATATCAGTAAATTTAGATTTGAAGTGAATGCGCGCGCAAGGTGTCAAATGCTGAGTGTGGCGCGTCGGCAATTTGTATGTATGTAGACATACTTGCATACAAATTAGGGGTATGACTGTTATAAGGAGGTAATAAGAAAAAACGTTATGTGTGATAATAAATAAAACATGGTTCCGTGGGATTGTGTCTGTAGTCGAATCCGCAGTCGTCTGCCATTCACCGAATTCCTCCAAACTGGCCCTATGTGACCGCTTTATCTTTGCTGGAAAGTTGAAAGATCGCTATAAACGGGTTTTCATGATTGAGTAATAAAATTAAATTATACCAAAGAGAATAATAGGAATTCTCTATAAAACGAAATGAACTTCGCCACCTGTTTGGTATTTGCCCTTCCAGATACTTATAAAAATATTTGCTTAATCTCAGTCGATCCTAATTTTGTCTCTAAATTAGGAAAAATTTAAATCAAGAAATTATCTGCTTTGCTTTTGCAAGTATTAGTTTCTACATAACCTCGGAATTGTAACTTTTCCACCAGCTAATGAATACACCATTAGAAAGCTATCTTAAACGAGTTTCCATCAACGCAATTAATCTGCCATCTGAACGAATTTGACTGACAAAAAAACAATATTTTCACGTATTTTAATACAAATCTTTATTATCGCCTTAAAAATAGGCTCCTGAGCCAATACAAATATACAGACCCAATTTTTCACACACTTGTTAAAAGCCTCGACTGGGATGGCCTTCAGTGCCTTCAGTGCACATAGCGGTCCAAACAGACCGATCAAAATCAAGTTCCTGTATGTAGTTATTCTTGAAGGGTATTATACTATCTTCGCGGCAATCGAAGTTAAGATTTTTTCTAAATTGCCTATAATGTGAGTATATGTATATTATTCTCTGAGAAAATATTATTTATGCACAAGAAAAATGTTTAATTTAAGTTAACGAGTCATACCCCCAATGTGGTCACATCTGGCCCACCGCTGTCCAGTTCAGGCGTCCAGAATGCGATCGCTAAAGTTGTTGTCCATTTTACGGCAAACTAACTATGTGTATGTGTGTGTACATATACAATATATTGCGTCTGTCCATTATATACACAGTATATTATTTGAATTACTTAATTATGTAAGCGAAATCAAAGCACCAGCGGGCCTCCAGGTGAGTATGTTCAAGAACACATGCATGTGCGAGTCATGATATATATAATATGTATATATGTATATGTTGCGCAAATGATATTTGCCAATAAAACTTTATGGTGCACTTTATTGCTGCAACATTTACAACAACAAATACATTTCTAATAGCAACAACAATTATGTGGCATTTATTTAGCAGTTTAGCGTAGTTATGTGACTCTTGTTGTTGTTGCTTTTATTATCACTATTGTTGTTGCTATAATTGTCACCATGTTGCGAGCGCAAGTTATTTGTTATTTATACGGTTGACCGGAAATATTGACACTACTATTGGCCACTTATGACTTTATTGTTTTTGTTTTTGTTCTTTTTTTTTCTTAATTTACGGTCTGGGAATGTGGTTTTCCTTTCGGCCGGACTTCAAATGCTTGCAAAATATCGAAAATATGTGGGCAGTGGGAATGTTGGTTGCTTAATTGGGCCAATTGCTGTGGCGATCAGAAGAATGCAAATAAAGAATTTGTGGTCGTTATCGTTATGCAGTCTTTTTATGGATAAGGATTGACCAAAAAGAGTATAATATTGTTTTTTTAGTGGTCCGATATCGGGGCTCCAACAAATGAGCAGCTCCGTGGGGTGAAAAATATCTTTCAATTTTCACATCAATATCTCAAAAACTAAGGGACTAGTTCGCATATATACAGACAGACATGGCTAAATCGACTCAGCTCTTACCGCTGGTCATTTATATATAAGTATATATACTTTATAGGGTTTCCGACGTTTCCTTTAGGAAGTTTCATGGGAAACATGATTTTTAGGTTACAAAAATCTTATAAGGAAAGCAGTCTCAAAATTAATTAAATTACTTATATAAACATTGCTTCATCCGGTGTGACCTGTGATTAATACAAATGCGTATAGAAATGTCTCGGCATTCGATAAGCTCCCATTTACAAAATATCATAATTTTCGCTATTCTAGCAAACTTTATGCCCAATATGTTGATCAGTGGGTGAATTATTTTCACAAAATTGCGTGGAAACATGTTCTCGAGAATTCTGGAGTAATGCCAAACATGGCTAGCATTCAGAATACCGTCCGCCGAATGCGGTTTTGAAATAGATATTGGCGGATAGAGAAGATTTAAAATAGTCGATAATACCCGATCATAACGCTTTTTTACTTGTTACCACTATATTCAAAATAAAATTTTACAAAATTAAAAGGTTCTTGCACAGCATAGTTCTAGGTACTTACTTTTAAAGTCGGGCAATCATTTTTGTAAAGTTGTGTCAGTGCGTTAGATACTAATCAATCTATTCGCTTACCGCTCATAAACTTCATTTCAAGCCCTTGCACAATCCAAATTTATTGCACAAATAAGCAGTACTGATCAGCTATTGCTTCTTCCATTTGCTATTATTATTTAATTTATCGGCAATATTGGATTTGAAATGAACTTTTATATATTTTTTATCTTAAAAATTGTCAAGAAGTAAACGTTTAACGTCGATTGCAAACACAGAAACAGTTTTCTACAAGAATTTATTAAAAAGTTCGCCACTAACTTGTTTCACAATTTTCAACACGAAATGCTTATACATTTCCTTCCGCTATTTCTGTCGCGTTGCTAATATAATATTTACATTTCGTTTGACAATTGTTATTTAAAATTTTATATTGCGTAAATGCCAATTGTTAAAATTAAATTTTATCACCTTACAAATTTATTAAGTGAAATCCGGTTTTATGTCGCTTAACATAACAGACCTCATATATTTGTTTTTTTTATCTATTTGATCTATTGAAAATTTGCTGCAAAATTCTACTTAAATTTTCAATTATCGCGTTGCCAATTACCCGAAAATGCAAGTATCTCATGCTAAGCAAATTTTGGACATTTTTTAATTTTAGCTTAATTTTTTTTTTTTATTTGAATATTTTGTCTGAAAAACCATGTAACGAACGGAAAATGAAAAATACAAACATATTTAGCAATAAATGTTGGTAAATGATTTCATTGTGTGTTCGTGTGGTTCAGTAAATACGATTGCATCCACAAAAATTGTTAAATTGGTGCGAATTATGGTATATCGGCATCATCGGGCCATATTTTTTTCGAAATGAGTCAGGATATGCCTCACCGGGCTAAAATGCTGCACCGAGTCATCGAAAATTGGCATAAGCGGATGGAGATATGCAAACGGAACCGTGGTGCCCATTCGGCCGACATCTTCTTGTTGATAGACCATGTATTTCATGAATGGACAGTAAACTTTTTTATTTTATGAATAGACAGTAAAATTTTTAAAGAAAAAATTAAAAGTTTATGAGTTACACGCCATCTCGAACGGCGCTAAAAATCGGTCTCCACTGCTATAGTGATTCCGACCTTTTCCGCGGATGAAACCTAAAACAAATGTCTACTAGAAGATACACATGACCTAGGACAAAAAAAAATTTAAAATAGCGGCGTTTCAAGAACAGTTAAATTATATCCGAAATTCGGCTCTTCATTGGACATTTGCCATTGAGTAATCACTCAAGAAAAACTCGTTTAAAGATAGAATTATGGAGCGGATAGAACTGAGCGGTTACCTTGTTGTAGGCTATAACTTAAAAGCTATTTCAGATATCGATTAAAAATTTTAGTATGTTATTTTTAATGGTGTAACCTTTTGAAACATTAAAAAAATATTTCCGTAGTCATGTGTGTTCTGAAAATATTTCAATAATAAACCTATGGAGCATATACATATCTTCCCTTCCATTTCAATTATACAAGGTTGTGTTGCTAGCCCTAAAACAACACTTTGTCAAAAGTAATTGCATCCAGAATGTCAAATTCTGTCATTTTGCCTTGTATTGTTTTGATTTTATGATTCAAAAATTAATTTTTAAAAAGTTTCAACCAATGAAAATGCATTTTTGAAAGATAACGGAATACCAATTGTTTGCAAATCACACAAACTCATTAAATTGTAAGCAGAAAATTTATAAGAAAAACAAAAATCAGTTTTGTTTTGACTTTATAGATAGTCCTTCGTAAAAGGAAGCATTCTTCGTATCAACACAACCTTTTATAATTGATCATGTACAGAAATATAGAATTTCGGTTTCATTTGCTGTATGATATAGAAATTAATCTCTTTAACTCAGCTAATGTGGCAACATTTCATGTGCTCAATTCCTCAATTACTGAGTTCAGTGGATTTCTCAGAAATGACAACAAACGGAACCGGTAAAAGTCATTTTGGCATTTAGCAGTGCTGCCAAACTACTGCACATTTGTGGTTGTCATATTTCGTGCAATTTCTTTATGTACTCTTCATTTGCTGTAAAATAATTAAAAGTGTGAAGAAGTTTAGATTAAAGTGTTGTATTGGTTTTCTGCATCGTCAAAGAGCAGAAAATTGCCAAAAAATTATAGTTCATAAATATATATTTATATACATATATAGGTATAAAGAGTGCAGCAGCCGCAATTGTGTGCCCAAGCGAAAGATGGGGAAGCAGGTGTCTAAGTAAAAGTAGATAAGCAACGTCTGGAAGCAGTTTCCTTTGCTTTATAACGCAGACAAAGAAAAAGCAACCGCAATAATATAAAAATTTACCCTCGTGTGGGAAAAAGAACTCACAAACAAGTCGAAGAATCAACAATAGCAGCAGAGCTGTGACGACGACAACGACGACGTCGCCGTTGACTTACGAAAAAAGTCGTGAAAAAAGTACAACATCTGCAATAGCAGCAGTTTTGCAAAGACAAACGCCAGCAGCAGGCCTATACGCAAAACAGCCAAAAAAAAACTACACAAAAATGTTCATATTGCAAAGCTAAACAACAATTTGCCACTTTTCCCCACAATTTTTTTTTTGTTTTGGTTTTTTGCATAATTTAAAACTTTCTTACGTCGACTTTTAATTTCTTCCTGTGCCTCTTCAAAGCCGGCGCACACACACATCGCTTGCCGTCAACTGAGTGCGCCGCATACCTTACGACCAACCTGCCGGTCGACCTACGTAAGTACTATCAATCACACAAAATGCGAGTATGACGAGTGCAACGCCCACCCAGTCGTGGCGACTATGGCTCAGCATGTTTTAACTGTATATACTTTATTTTATCAATATACATTTGTTTTCGCCAATTTGCTGACATTCTCATTAATAAACGCATTTAACTTTTTCTTGCAGTTATATAGAGTATTTGGTGAATATTACTTCATATTCATATATATAATCGTAATCTAAAGCAATTTGGGCTCTACTGATTTCACAAGTTCTTGAAAGTTTGCTAACCACGCGTTCTCCCAAAAAAGCTAAATTTTCTACGAGATTATATATATACACATATATTGCTGTAATTGAATTGCAAAATTATTTAAAGGTAAGTCATTATGACACAGTATTATGGAACAACTGTACTCGTTACGTAGTTATATTTATATGTGCGTAGAATTGAAGCGAGAATTTAATTTTCATTTATAATCAATTCAAGTTAGCGCTATTTAACAAGCTTATATACCTACATATTTATACCCTGCACAGGGTATATTAAGTTTGCCACTGAGTCGATTTAGCCATGTCCGTCCGTCTGGCTGTGTATATACGCGTAATAGTCCCTCAGTTTTCGAGAAATCGATCTGTTATAAATTGATTGTTCAAAATCGAGTTCTTGTACGCAAACTTTTTTTTGTGAGGGGTATTCTAGCTTCGGTACAGCCGAAGTTAACGTTTTTTTTTTCTTGTTTCAAATATGTAAACACTAGCTAGGCCTATCTTGGCACATAGCAGACCATAGTCACGTGCAATTTATTGCATATTGAATACAAAATTAATTATTTAAACAAACAAAGGCACAGGTCAGCGCTTATCTCGAGTGATGCAAACAGTGTTTATTATTATTATTTTTGTTTTATGTTTATTTATAAATTAAAGTATTCAAGGGGCATGACTTACAAGCACAGTATGAAAGCCGGTTGTTCAGCTGTTTACAAATTGCCAATTCAGCAGTTTTAGTTGCACATTCGTGTGACGGAGCACAATACCCGTCCAAAAGCCAACCGGTGCACATAATAACTCGAGGTACACGCTACAACAACAACAACAACAACATAACTCGAGGTAGTCGCATACAGTGCTAAATAAAAATCTGTTATTTTGGTAACAAAGAAAGAGTTGCAATAAAATCTTGTGCGTAGAACTTTATTTATAAGCAAATTTAAATAGTTTGTGATGTAATAATTACCGGTGAATAAAAGGAAAAATATGCATTTTGTAAAAAGTACCGTGAATTAACTTTAACGCGACGAATATTTTTAAATATTTCAAATACACAAATTTTGTTTGCTAAACTTTTGGGTGTCTCCACATTTGTGTTTGCATTGCTTATACATAAATACGTACATGTGTGTAAAATATGTGTGAAATATTCATAGCACTACGCTGTTCTGCAATAACAAAAAACGTGCTGTTCAAACGCAATCTCATAAAAGCACACAATTATTGGAGATAAGCGGACTTCGCGATTTTAATTACGTACTTGTAGATTTTGGTAATGCCGCAGCTACCAATAACCAATGCAATTCGCATTTTCTTATGCTTATCGCTAAATGAAAAATTCAAATACACACACATACTATGCTAAGCAATATTAATTGGTTTCTTTTTAATTTTTATTCTTTTTTTAATTCTAGATGGTCAAGGAAAAGCCAAATTCTACACGAATTTATGACAAGGATGGCTTTCGTCGTCGTGCCGCTTGCATTTGTGTGCGCTCCGATGCCGAGGCAGAGGTAATAAATAAATTAAACATTTTCTCTTAATATATTTCTTAGTAATTGGCAATTTCTATATGTGTTTAGGTGCTGTTGGTGACTTCGTCACGCCGCCCGGAATTGTGGATTGTGCCCGGCGGCGGTGTTGAACCCGAAGAGGAGCCTTCGGTAACGGCTGTGCGTGAAGTGCTCGAAGAAGCCGGCGTTGTGGGCAAGCTTGGGCGCTGTTTGGGTGTTTTCGAAGTGAGTACACATAATTATATATGAAATTTAGCACAAATTGTCAAGTCAATATGCTTTTTCTGTGCTTAGAATCGCGAGCATATGCATCGCACCGAAGTGTTTGTTATGACTGTCACCAATGAATTGGAGGAGTGGGAAGATTCGCGTAGCATTGGCCGTAAACGCCAATGGTTTTCCATCGATGACGCGTTGACACAGCTGGCGCTGCATAAACCGACACAACGGCACTATTTAATGCAGCTAAGGCATTCAAAAAGTAATACGACCGCTTCGAATACACCACCAGCATCGCCTACAGCAACATAAGGATAATGTAGTAGTTTTGTCACAACCCACAATGCGCATAGCTGCAGCGTAACTACACACGTGTGCGGCGACACGTGCACTGTAGACTTAAAGTGACACCCACAAAACATATATTAGCATGTAAAAACACATATACACGCATATTTGGTGCGTCGGTATTGGCGCGCATCACCAACAACAACAGTTGCTGTTAGGCACACTGCAGCGCTTGTTAATAGCTCTAATGTTACACTTAAATTTCTTATTATTTTGGCTAATTTGCACACAACTCACTTTCATCAAAATTTACTTTTGTATTTTTTTTTTGTTTTGTTATTTTCTAAGTAAAATGCATGCAATATGCAAACACACGTACACACAATTAAGTATACAAAATCATTACCATTTGCTTATGCCGTAAAGTGAAACATGTTATAATATTCAAATAGTATTTAGTTGAAAAAGTTTTATTTTGAATTATGCAAAACACCATAGACTCGTATAAAATTATGCTCCACATCAAACAACAATATTCATCACTAACGTTAAGATACTTTTTAATACTGTAATAAAGTCTATAATATTTAAGTTGAACAAAGTCAAATGTAAAGCAACTGCTTGCAAGTCGTCTGAAAAAAACAACAACAAAAAGTTAAGAAAAAAAAACAATTTTTTTTTGGTATAATATTCAGTTTTATTTAGAATAACAAAAAAAAAGTCAGAAAAAAAATTTAAAAAATGCAAAAGCGCCACACAACGTTATAAAAGTAAGCCGTTTTGTTGACTTTAACTGAAACGCAATTCTAGTTTGTTTGAAATACCAAATTTCACGCAGTCAACGTACATAACTAAATACAAATAAAATAGCTATTTTCATAAAAAAACAATTATAATATAAAATAAAAATAACGAAATTAAGGGAAAGGCTACACAATGATAACAATGACGCAATTGACGCAAATAATAAATAGATCAAGTCAATAAAGAAGAAAGTTTAATTGAAAACTTTAAACAAATTGCACATTTTTGTAAATTTCTACCTAGATTTTCTACTATTTTATAATTTTAAATGAAACGATAAGAAACAAATGCTTATAACTACTTACTATTGTAATGTATGTATGTAATATTGAAGTTGCGCTCAGCTGCTTTTTGCGGAAGCAATTAAATTGTGTAATCAAAATTCTAAAGTAAACAACAAAAACAAAAACAAATTAAATAAGCAACCAAAACCAATCATGAGTATCTAGCATGTATAAAAAGTAAGCAAAATTAAACGAAAAACAAACCAAGCAAAGTGAAAACGATTTTGTGTGCATTGTTAAGCGTTAATTTTGATTTGCGAAAATAAATTTTCAGTTTTGTTACGCACTCGAACCAAACGCTGTACTGTAGTTGCCTTTCGTATTGAATGGATTGCCTGTTATGTCGCCGCCAACAGCGCTTTGATACGCACTTTTTTTTTTAAAGACTTTCTTTTGTAATCCATTGGTATGTGTCTAAAATTGTGCTAGCAATTAGACTATGTTCACATGAGAACTCATGTGTCGCCCAAACAGATTTGTTTTTTTTTTATAGGCGAGGGGATGACGATAAAACGACGAAGGGGCCGTACCGCTCGTGGTTGTTGTTGTAGTGGCGGCAAAATACTGTTCAGTGGACAGTTCTTGGCTGGATAAAAATCTGATTTCGTTCCGATTATGTAGACCCGACTGTCGTAGGCACGGTGCCGCTCGTGGTCGGGTGTCACGCTTTGTTCGTAACAGCTGCTGCGCAATTCGGCATTCCTTTTTATTATGAAACTCCTTTCATAGTTGCAATAGCGCTCGATTTCAAATGAATCTTCACCTAATATGCGCAAATTCGAATTTTATTATCTATTTTTTGTATGTAGTATGCAAATATGTATATTATATAAAAGAAATATTTTAGAAAATGTTGAATGAGAATAAAAATTGGTTAAACAAAAATATTTTTGTGCAGCGCGTACTTGTAGCGTACAAGAATTTGAGTATGTGATATGAAAGAAAATGCAGAAAATTGTTCGACTCAAATTGTCGCAGTCGTGTCGTTCGTGTGAACACAATGAGCCATCCCAAATTTGTCGATAATGGGCGACATGAAGAGTCCTCGTCTGAACACAGTCTTAGTGACTTTAAGTCGAAGCCTCTCTGCTGCTGCTAAAGCCCGCTACAACGCACGTACCACAAAGAAATATTTTTATTTTTGTTTTGTGCTGCATCTATGTACTATATGCTTTGTTGCACGTGCTACTTGCAACGTAGTTGGCGTAAGTAACGCTACAAAAAGTAATTCAAACACACACGTTAGACTCAAATAGACGCAGTCATACTGACATTGTTAAGGAAAACAAGTAGTTTCTAATTTAAATCTAATATTAATATGGTATATTAAGAAATAATAAAAAAAACACTAAATGAATAATATTAATAGAAATAAATATTAAATAATATTTCTTAAGAATAATAAAGTAAATAATAATAAAAAAAATAATAATTAAATAATAAAAAAAATTAATAATAATAATATTATTATTAAGTAATAATAAAAAATAAATAGATAATACAATTTTTTTTTTAAATAAATAATTATACAAAAAAGAAGTAAATAAATGAAAAACGCATTAAAGAATTGCAAACACGTTTTAACATTGTAAAAGCGCATATACATACATACATAAAATAATTGATAAGTGAGTGAAAAAAATAATAACTGTTGCGATTATAATATTAAAAACGAGAAAAGAAGTTATATTATGAATGTAAAATCAGTAAAAATAAAAAAAAAACGAAAGACATATTAGAACGAACACTTTCTTTTTGTTGCTTGTACCAAGATTATTTATTTTCCATGTAAAGTTTTTTTCATTTTTGTAAATAAAGTGATATTGGCGATTTTGGAGCTTTTCAAAACTAATGGCATATATGATTTGTACGTTTGTATGTATACACGTGCATGTATTTACAGTTATATTTGGCAATGAGTACTTTCTATTTTATAAAACTGCAATACTTATCAAGAAGTGCAACGCTGTCCTAAATGTATGTATGTCTGTCAGTACGTATTAGTATATCATATATGTATATATGTCATACGTATGATCCATCAATTATTGGAGAAAAGAACCACACAAATTGTTGCAGAGCAATGGGCCGCTCTGAGAATTCCGGGTTATGAAGGAATTGTCCCCGATCTGTACATGAGTAGCTGAGTATGTAAATATGTGTGTCAGCAAGTCATGTATGTTTGTATGTACATACATATGTATATCGTTCGAGTGTGTCCACATACATATGTATGTATTATATATGTCTCTACCAATAATTGACTGTGTACTTTCGCTTGCATTTATCCTCATAGAGTTGCCGCATCTCGTGCTGTACGAGAAAGTAATAAAATTGATCTGGAAAGAGTTTCACATATTCACACAACCGATGTACATTATTCTGCTTTGGCGCGTCGATGCACATTTCTTTCTTGCAGCTACCACGACAGTCGTGCCAATGACAATCGGCGTCGTACCAACAAGGTTTACCGTTCGTCAGCTTCTTATGCAGTTGACTCTCCAGTTGCATGTAGCGCGCGTGCAGAGCTTTGACTCTAACGGTTAAAAATAAATTTATATATATATATATTTATTTAACTCTAACGGTTATATATATATACTAAGATATTACTTCGCGTGTCTCTATTTGAGTGAGTTTAGTTACCTATTGTCTACCGTTAAGCCAAAATGATCCATGCTAATTTTGCAGATTTTCACCGGATCCGGTTTGATCATATCCAACCGCAATACATATTCGTATAGGGTTTTGAAGTTCAGATATTTATGTGGGCCACCACTGCAAAGAAATAAATTCGATGATAATAGATTTTTGTATGCAATACTGAGTTAAGAGTTACTATATCAAAACTTTTTGAGCATTGAGGTCCTGAATATGTCCACATATACGCGAACTAGTACCTCAGTTTTTGAGATATTAATCTTAATCTTTTATCCCCAAGAAGCTGCTCATTTGTCGGAATCACCGACCATCGGTCTTTAAAAGTATACGGCAAGCCTTATGTACCCAACCCTTTTCAAGTTGTCCCGCCACACGTAGGATACCTTGACGACTTTGACTTGAATATCTAATTTTTCTTATTTCAACTAATGTAATACAGAAATACAATATAATTCAAAAAATATCAAGTTTTCGTTTTTTTTCTACTCGAGGGAGATCACTCTACAATTTTTTTATGACTACACAAATGGCTCTTGGTCATATTTGAGTTTTGGCCAACAGGAAAAAGTTGCGTGAGCCTAAATTTTTTTAGCTGGGGGGGTTTTTTTCGACGGGGTCTGATCATAGGGAGGGGGGGGGTTTGATGAGTGGGATTCTTTGGGCATGCAAAGAGTTGTTTAGGGTCTGAATTATAATTTTGGATAGGTAGGAGTGTAAGGTGTTACAATTTCCAGACGGAGTGGTCACTCCAGTTTCACGAGGCAACTCGAGCTCTTCGTCTGGCTGCAATGGGTGGTGGATGCTTGGTCGAATTTAGTGTTCCAAAGGTAAGTATTTAAATAAATAAAATTATATAGATACTGCTATTAGTATTTAGTTAAACGCAGTTACTCACGTTCTTGCCTCAAATGGAATACGTAAATGCTCCGCTACATACATGCTACCGCAATTGCCCAGTATGGTTGGGAATATAGCTTCATCTTCAAATAGCTTAGCCATCACATAGTCATTGTCATTGAAAAGGTACCAGAAATCTTTTATTTGAGTCGGTTGATTTTCATCAATTTCATGGTTAATTAAGTGTTTTAGCTGTTGGTAAAGATATTGAAGAAAACACTCTCGTTAACAAAAATACTTGAGTAATATTTTGTATATAAGTAGATATGGACATTTGGGCTTCAAAAAGAGTTTCTAAGGAATGAATGATCAGTAACGATGAGCATTGTATAGGCATGTACTATATATGTTAACTTCTGGATCTTCACTATCCTCAAAAACATTTTATGGAATAAACTGGTACAGAGTTTTTTTTTTTAATTATTATTAAAAGATGAATTACAGGATTGCCTGAAATTTGGCATACCCGTTAACAACCCTTGACATTCGTAACAAAATCAAAGATATAGAAGTCTTGAACTCGCGCAAAAAACCGTGGAACCTCTGAACAATTTCTTACAAAACAGATAATCTTATAAAACTTCATTGACTACTTGGAATAAAAAAAAATAGTAGCCGAATGTCTTGCAAGAGACTCTGGAACTTTTAATAGAATTCCAAAGATCTATTTAGCTTTTTCTCTTCATTTGTCTACATCTTTCCGTCCGTTCAAAGGAATCTGCTCAGTGGTTTCAGTCATCATTATTGTAAAGTTTTCTGCTGAATTAAATAACACCTCTTTTAAGATATATTTTAAATGTTCCGAATACAGCTACAAAGGTTTCCTTAGAGGACTGCAGTTTTCAAAATTTTGGACTAGGCAACACTAATATGGTAAATAATGAGAGTCTCTTAAAGCAGTTTAGTTTAAATGTGAAACAGTAAATTTAGGTGATCCGACCAATGTGGCCTATTTTATATATGTAGTTATTTCAATAACACGGAATCAATACAGACTCTTAAACAGTATGACTAAAGAAGAAAATCTTTATGTATATATCGAAACAGTCCAATCAATATAATATCAAGAGAAAATCAGTAGTTTTCGCAAGTCGTGGTTCAACTACATTTTTCCGTTTTCATTATGACAAATTCAATGACGTAGAAATCGTCAGAGCACCTATAACCTATAAATGATCGGCGTGACAAGCTGAGTGGATTTAGCTATGTACGTCTATCTTGATAGAAGCGTACTAGTTCGTCAGATTTGAGGAATGGAAATTTCACACATGTCGTTTTCCATCTGCTCATTTGTCGGATATTGTATAGCTGCCATACAAACTGACCGATGAAAGTTACCTTTTTTATTTGACAAATTATTTTCACAAAATTTTATATGGATTATAGGCCCAAGGCAACACTACAATCTGCGAACAAATTGAGAAAAAGAAACACACCTGCGGAAGGTATTATAGCTTCGGTGCAGCCGAAGTGAATGATTTTTCTTGTATTGTATAAACACAATTTTTCCCTTTTTTGTCGTGGCTATCAAGGAGCATTAATTTTGACGCAATATAAACTGCACAGAAACCTAATGGATTAGCTAAAGTCAAGGCATCCATTCTTGCTGAGGTTTCTGTTAAACATTTTTTCGACTTCTTTAGCTGAAATGCATTTGATCAGGATATCGGCAAGTTTTGTCAGAAAATGGCAAGCTCTATCGTTGGCTGGGAGCTTTAGAAGGAATACTAAATTGAATACACACACAGTATAGTATGTTCAGAGTACTGTTCGCTGTAAGTTCTCTTTCATTAAATAAGCGGTTGTGAAGCTTGTCAAAAAGTAGTCAGTATATAAAGATCGTAAATTTTTCTTATTCCTTTGCAGATATTTGAAAATATTCTTCAAACTCACCGCATTATCTTCCAGCGTCACATTATAATTAACCAATAGATGCATTTTGATCATGTGATACAAATCCGCAGATTTTGGATAAACATCGTCGCCGTTCTTATCGCGCCATGTCAGTCCGTCACGCTTTTCCATTGCCAACTAAAGGTGAAAAGTGAAAGTGGTTAGTTTCGTATTTGCTTTTTGCACTGTATCTCTCTTTTTGCTTTACTTGGAAATCGTAAACATTTCCATTTCTTTCGGCGGTAAATGCGAATGGCAGCCCGTTAATGCAGTTGTAATTGCTAAAGGCCGACGCTTTGTTGCAGATTTCTTTGCACAATGCGCCGCTGGTTTGGTTTTGACTGTAAGACTGGCACTGCAAGTAAGCTTCATTATAATGTTTTTTACGATATAAAATTAAATTAATTCACTAAAAATTTTTGTTCGCTTTTACTTACTACGTTGGGTATTACATCATGTTCCAAATAAGTCGTGCAAAATAGACCGAACACACCGATCGTTATGGGCACGAGAAGAAGCAAAAATAAAAGGCAACGATAACAATTGCGTAGTGCACGTGTTATTCGCATGAATGGGTAGATCATTTTGGGTAACGCCTCTCAATTGCACAGTATTATATACTTTTATGTATTTATCTTCCCATATGTAAATAGTACTTTTGCGAAAAACTGATTTTCTTATCACCGTCGCTTTAAATTGGTTTTTCTGATGTTCTTGTACCTTGGAAGCGCCGAAAAATTCCACTAACGGCAAATGACTGCTGTATCCAGTTTCGTTGCGACCAGCGACTATGCTTCACTGATTGGGGTGGATTTGGTATATTTTGACAGATGGGGGACATGCGCAGTCGTGCCAACACAAAAAACATCTTTCTTTTTTTGGAAGTATGATAAGTCTTTCAATAGTTCTTTAACTTACAAACAGATCAAAAGCGGTTCTACTCTACATAAAAGCTGTCGAATCACATGAATTATCTTTCTCCTTTTTTTTTTAATCTTTCGGCAATATTTTTGTAAAAGAACTTTCCATAAAACATAAAATATTATTTAAAGTCTTTCCACTTAAAGAGTTTAACAAAAGTACCAATCGTTTTTGTTTGATCTGTTTAATGAGTTTCTAAGAATTTCGTTTAAAACTTGATCCTGCGTTACTCCGCTTTCTCTAACCCATCTGTAGAACATGCTTTCTGAAAGTCTACAAAGTTGGCCTCCGTTGCGGCTATAACTTTTTCATTTGACTAAAATTTCTGCGAGTGACTCTTTTAAGACTGAACCTGGGTACCCGGAGCTGGAACGCTCTGGAATCCTCGCACACTTTGATTTTATCTCAAAATACTTGGATTACCAGGTCGCCGAGCCTAGATTTGGTTGTCATATCTCTGCTCGCATACCTGCGAGGGAGGCATGGGAGGGAAGGACTCACTAGAGGAGAGGGGCGGTGAGCTTTTTACGAATGAATCGAAGTTTGTGAAGAGGCTTGATGGCGGAGTATACTGTCGGGAACTATCAATCAGCTACAGTTTTAGGCTTCGTGACCTTTGTTGCGTCTTTCAAGCGGTTGTAATAGATCTATTGCTCCGGAGCGCATCATCCTTCAGAGTGGTGACTATCCACTCCGATTGTAAAGAAGCGTTATTAGCTTACTGTACGCTCAAGATTAGTGCAGGGATGTCTAGACTCCTAATGGCAAGCATCGAGTTACTACATAATTTGACTGGTTTGGATATTGCAAAGTTGATGAGCTTGATGCGACAGGTACTTCAGGCTCAATAGATGCGGAATGAGAACGGGTCGGAGCTCGGTTGGCTTTTTTCTTTCATCACTACGGAATTTGGCATCGAGTATCTCGATATTTCCTTAGTACCAGCAAAGATTCTCGTCTAGCGAATTTCTGAGGTGATCTTAGGTGTATATAAACCTGACTGCCGCAGGAGAGTAAGGTTAAACCGATTAACGGAAATTCACAGTAAGACTATACTACGAGATTAAAAACATTTGAGGAAGCCGCCTAAAAAATAGTTACAACTTTTATAGCAAATTCTTTGCCCAACCAAATGCAACTGGTCTGGTTAGTCATTACAAAAGATAAATAATTATTTTCGATTGAAAATATCCGGCAAATTTAAGATTTCAGACACGCAACTATGTTAAACGATTGAGATAATTTTAATCGTGATCATGAGTGTATACTATACAAGCGGATCGAATGTATCGATGACCTGAATAGTCAATTTACGTGTTATATTCAACCATGATTGGTTGATTAAATCGGAAGGCGCTTGAGCGCCAGACCGCAGGCGACGGTACTTATTCCATCATTAGGCATCAGTAGATTTGGTAAAAAACCTAATTTGTTTGCACCCCAGCTGCACAATGTCTCTTAAGTTGGAGCATCGATTATCCACTAGAATGTTTATGGACTTGCTGGTTAGCGCAGAAACTTACTTGGTACCTTCTGTTAACATATGCCTACAATTTCGGACTAAAGGCCGAATTATAGTCATTTAGTATTCAGCTACCTTCTGAGTATGTATTACTACAGAGGAAGCCGAGCCTGGCTCCAATGACCTAAAACATTTGCCGGCTGGCAGTAAGCCTTGCTTCATACTTCAGTTGTATGTGTATTGGCCGGATGTCGAGGATAACCTCTATAGCATTTTTGACGTATTTTTCATTCCCAGCAAGCAAGTCCGCTGCACCAGTTCCAGGGGCTTAATACGGCACTTTTTCAATTTCGCACCATACGTTTGGATGGAGCGGATGCCACTTCCACGATAGTGGAAATATTCGACTAAAAAAGCTTCTGTAATTTACCTGAAAAAAATTAAAATACTGAAGCAAACAACAAAATCTATCTTACGCTTTCCAAGGGCCTTAGAATTGATCCCATATTCAGCTATCATTATCGTAAGCTGCATAAGCTGTAAGTCCTGAAAAACTTGGTATGGAATCGCTTATTATACATCATATACATAAGTATATATTTTGGCTCACATCATTTCTTTTTATGCTTCTGATTTGACATATTTTTACGGATGAACTGAGTTTAGGAATAATATCATTCTTGTAAACAGATCTTTGTCAGCCATAAAAAAAACTCCTCAGGTAAAGGCAAAGAACATACCCTACTTCTGTTAGATTATATACGGATGTCACTTTGTTACCACGACATAATCGCAGATTATGCCAAATTTTATATGAATAGAGACTATGACTGTTTTGTCTGGTAAATTTTTAGAGTTCGTTTGACAGAAAAATACAATGGTATGTGACTTTTTGCAACAAAGAGGGGTCCCTTCTTTGTTTACTATTAATTCAAAATTCACTTTTAGATTAATCTGAATTCAGTGCTGGGTTTGACTATTTTTAATTGTAAACACGCTTTATAAATTGTAGTTGTTTAATAAAAGTTTTTATGCTCTTATTGTGGTGAGCATCACACTGTTTCAAAATAAAATTTCCATCATTATGTTTCGAAACACGCAACTCCGCTAAATCATTGGTCGGCATGATGATTCTGTCGCCTAGTATATTCCTAATATGTATATTTTTTAATGTGGTAAGTGTGTGTGTGTATTAAACGATCTACTTCGTAAATTCCATAATATTTCTATACATATTTAACAGACATGGGACATGGGCATATTATTCGTTTACTAATCATTTTGGTAGTTAAGTATTACATACATGAAGAAAGCCAATGGCTTTAAACCGTTTGTGCTGAATACGACCATAAATTTTTGTGATTATATGCTCAAGAAAAGTAATCCCATTGCCAATTTGGTGTATTCACATTTTAAACCCTTCTCTAATATAAATCGTAGCTGTCCATATGTGGTGAATATATATTTAATATAAATATATTTATTTTATTTCTATATATTAGCATCGTGGGGGGTGAACAAATCGTGAAGAACTTTTATCCGAAGAATGAGCTAGTTATACAGACATTTCCTATGGGAGATTATCTTTTGCTGTTGTCATGGATACTAAATAAAAAGAAAACCGTTACTACTAACGTGTACTTCACTTGGACTGGTTGATATTTCCAATTATAGTGTTTGGACCTTGGACTGTACATTTATATACAATACTACAAATGTAAAGCTGAACCAAATTATCAAATAAAACCTGTAGATTAGAGAACTTTTTCTAGTGGCACATATTATTGAGTTTTATAGCAATTTTATTTTATTTATGCATATACGTATATGGGCCACTGTAGTCGATTGTAAAAGTTCCGTCCGTATCAAAATTAAAATATGTAAAGTTTGGAGAAGCTTGAAGCTCTGCATATAGTAAAAAACCAAAATTAATAAAGAAACTAAAATTTTCTGGCACTTTGATATTCAACGCTTATTCAGCTATGAGCGTCTTAAGCTGAATGAGTGCTGGATATCACAAGTTCTAAAAAGGCTAATACTAGTTGAGCCAAACACATATCAAGCCTTTTGTACAAATGGGTTATTGGTAAAAATAAAACTTCCATATATTTCAGTTATTAGAAGTGACGAACATCGTTCGCTAATCATTATGAAATCGTGTGCTTATGACTGCGTAATATTCGCAGATTAGACTGAATGACTATTTTAAATTTTGAACACGCTTTAAAAACTGCACTTATTGCTTCACAAACTTTTGTTGGTTGGAAAGTGGAAAAATATTTTCGGTTTGCGCGTACAGTTTAAACGGACCAGTCCGAGTCAAATGTGATCTGATGGTAATTATATTGAGACAGCGCCATTTCCCCTCATCGCCTAACTTAAACAAATAAAAGACTTTAATGAAATTGTTCTTAACGTATTTTTTTTTTATTTATTTCATTTTCCTTCATTTCTTTATTTTTATTTCAATTTCTTGCTAAATTGAGCAATTTTTATATAATTTATTTTCATATGTTGTAATATTATTTATTTATTTGTATGCCTTCATAATCAATAATGTTTGTTTTACGTGTTGTTGTGTTTCAAATTTCATTACTAATTTATATTTAATATTGGTTATGCCTAAAAATAAAGAAATTAAATTCATATAATTAGATAATCACTTACGATTTTAATTAAAGTCATTGTATTAACTGGCTGCTTGTTTTCTTTTGTCTTCGTTTGTTACTGTTTTATTATTTTATTACAGTATTCATTAATTATTAATGTACTTTTTTAGTAGTTATTTTTGTTTGTGTATTTGCGTATGACTACTTAGTTTTTGTTTCTGGTTTCGAATTTGTTATTGCATTTTTAGCTGGTGTAAAGTGGTTTGCGGAAATTTTTAAAAGAAATACAATTTTGTAAAGACTAAAAAAAATATTTTTGGAAAAAAAATAAAAATTTCGAAAATTAAAAAAAAAATCGTGAAAAATATAAAATTTTTAAATAAAAAGATTTTAAAAATAATTTAAAAATAAATTTTGAATTAAAAAAATTTTTAAATAAAAAAAGTTTGAAAAATAAATTAAAAAAAAAGTTTAAACAAAAAATTAACTATTAGAGATTGTAGTTCGTGAGTTTTGCAGCTGTAATATTTTCGTCTAAGTGTTTTTTTTTCTTTTTTATTATTTTCATATTCTGTTTGTGTATTGCATTCGTTATTGGTTGTGTCATTATTGTATTTTGCATTTATCTATTTAACTTTTTTTGCAGTTTTAAATCTCCTTCACTTTATTTACTAACGATATTTTACTCTATTTTGCTCTATAGTGTATGTTTTCTTTATTAAATTATTTTGTGTTCAATTAAATTACTTAAACTTACGTTACGTTTACGTTTACGTTTTGATGAACATTAAAAATTTTTATATTTCTTTTACTTTTATTTTATTTTTCGTTTTTTTTTTTTTTTGTTTTACTCTCATATTTATATGTATGTTTGTGTATATATATTTTCTAATTCAATCAACTCGTATGTCTTAACTGTAAAACAATGATTTATTTTTGTTATATACATTTAGAATAACACACAGCACTGCTTGGCATCGTTTCCATGCGGCATAACTGAACCACGTGAATTGACCACGGTTTGGAGAAATATTTGAAATTTACGTTTTAAATTCGTAAGGGAAATGGCGTTGTATGTTGAAGTAAAAAATTTAGAAATAATTTGGTAATCTTAAAAACCATAAGTAATCACCTATTTATAGTCAGCTGTGTCGCATGGCAAGCTCAACCATGCAATGCCGTTAGAGTCGATTTTTAATTACTTCGAATATTATTTATGTAATCAAATATTCGCATGCAATTATTAGTTAAATTTCTCAGTGTTAACGTTTGGTTTTGATTTCGTGGTTCTGCTTATTAATTTCAATATTTATTTTTTGCTTTCGAACAACTCAAAAATATTATGTAATTGAAATAAAAACTATGTAATTGAAATATAAATAATCGTATTTAAAAAAATACAAAAAACCTACACCCTTTCACTTAATATCTCTAATCGTAAACATGTAAACTATAGTATATTAGTGTAGAGCATCATTTATGGAATTATGGCACCATGGACTTAAAGTCATGCTTAAAATGTTTAAAGAAGCATCCAAGAAGTTTGCAAAATACTAAAGCCTGTTTGTTTGGTGTGAAACAACTGCCGATAAAGAGTTGCCGCGTGTCGAGTAAATGAAATGTCGAGTGCTGACTTCGAGTTAAAGCTTGAAATTGGATGCAGAGTAAAGGTAAGAAATAAAAGGCACAAAACATAGAGAATTTGACACAAATTATAAAAAATGTTCAGTTTTATAGAAGTAACTTTATTTATCTATAGCTGTCTTGGATTTGTGAAGCCTTGGAAAGTGCTGAAACGAACAATCTATCTTTATATATATATAAAGCTATAACTTTCGAGAGATAACTTTGTAGTACTTGATAAGATAGTAGAGCTTATATAAAGCGAATTTTGCGAGTATGGGGAAAATATGTTCAACGATTATTTGGGCAGACTTCGGTACGCAAACGAATACGACGCAATACTTTCCATTTTAAATGCGACAACTACTTGGGCCTTGACAGTTTAAGTGAATCTCAGGCAGTGGTCGGCATGAGTGGAACAGCGACTGTGTTAGTGAGAACAAACATTACAACCACCACTGAGAACTATGTAACCTTACATTTTGAGAATATTTTTATTTTTTTCTGAAACAAGCAATTCCATGCTCTTTTTGTTCGTTTTATATATATTACTATTAAAAGAATTATGTTGGACTCTAAAGACATTAACAGCAATGTGGATAGAGCGTTAAATGTTTCCGACAATTTTAAGTTTGAAGGATTAACAGAGCTCGAAATGTTCTGTCAAAATAGATTCCAATCAAAGATAACGGTGGGAAGAGGGAGAGGGAACTATTAAAAGTAAGTAAGAGAGAGAGAGAGAGAGAGATACAGAAAAGACGTAGGTTAGTATAGTGTGACTTAAAAAAAAAACAAGATTTTTATTACATATTACCTTGGGCTTTACCTTTGAAAATAACATGCTATAATTTTAAATCAAATCTCAAATAGGTTTTGTTGCAGCTTTGTTAAATGTTGCCGCTCTGAATTATTATATTTTTTTCCTCAAAACAACATATTTATAATCTGGTTGAGTGATTACATACTCGGAGACAAATGAGTAGTTCCCTATCAAATGATTCTCCATACATTGACCTATCAGTATTTTGTTTTAATCAAAAATCGAATTTTGCCAATCCAAAAACGACCAACATTTTGGTAAAATTTTTGTGTCTTAATTTAGTAGCATTTTTATTCATTAGCAATAAAAAATCATTAATAATTACACAAATAAAAAAAAAAATAATAATAAAAAAAAAACATTTTTAATTTAAAAAAACAATTAATGCAAAAATGATAAATACAAATATTAAAAAAATTTCCATAAAACTGACTTACATAAGTGTCCACTATTAAAAAAATTTTGTATACCAAATCTATTTTTAATAATTATCAGTAAATTTTATTTTATTTACTATCATTGCTTATGCTTCAACTATTCATAACAATAGTCTTCTAAATTTTTAATTTATTTTTACTATTATATGTATATATGTATATATATTATTTAAATATTCAAGTGCAATAAAATTATATCGTTACGAGTTATTTTCACTACCGTTAGTTTTTAGTATTTTAATTACATTGTATTTCTGTTTCATTTTGTTTTTTATAATTTTATTTTTAATATTATATATCTTTTTATTATTATTATATAATATGTACAAAAAGAACATAACATTTGTTGTCGCTATTTTCACTTTAAAAACCTTTTTTGGCAGTGCATTGAAAATTTTAACTATTTACGAAATGACTTAAATCATTATGCGATTTTGGTTGTGTTTTGTTTTGCTTCTTCTTTTATTAATTAATTATATTTTTTTGCTATTTATTTGTATTTCTTTAATTTAATGTCATTTCACTATCTGATTTTTTTTAATTTTAATTTTTTTAATTTTAGATTTGCATTCTTATTGTTTTGCTCAAGTTTTGTTGGTTAACTGTGGCGCTAATGTTGTTGTGTTTTTTTGTTTTTGTTTTTGGTTTTCTGCTTTCTGTGTTTTATTTTTTATTTATAATTTTTGTATTTTTATTTTTATTTATTTTGTAACACTTTATGCTTTCCTTTCATTACAATTAATTTGCCTAATTACTTTATTATATTTGTTAGTAGCTACGATTATTGTTGTCACTATCTTTAATTTACTTTAATTAATTTTTATTTAATTTAAATATTTTTCTTTTATTTAAATTAATATTTTTTTATAAGTTTTTATTTATTTTTTTTTTTTTTAATTTTATTTAACTTATATTTACATACAGTGTTTTTTCGCACAAGGTACATTCGATTTGAATTGTTTTTCCTTTTTTAAATAATCTTATAATTTTTTTTTCGTCTTTGTGTTGTTGTAACACTTACTTGTCGGGCATTTGTTGCTTGATTTTTTCTCTGAATTTTCGTTTTAAGTAATTTTAGCTTAATTAATTACTCAAGTACGCTTATACATGTGTGTGTTGGTGTGTGTTATTCAAAGAAATGCAAAAGTGAGAAACATACAACAACAACAAATTGCTTGGTCAAATAAAGTTACTTAAATGATTTTTGTTTTTTCTTTTTTGTTGTTACATTTTCTTCATTTCATTTTAATGGAAGACAGTAGTCGTATTTATAAAAAAATTACACAAAAATTGCACACCGATTGCAATTGCGAAATTCTTGGTTCAAATTGCGAGCAGTGCTTTTAGAAATATGGTCAAGTGGCATGTGTGTGTTTGTTGTGCTTCTAAGTACTTAATATATGCCTATTTTGCTTCGAATATTTTCCCTCAAATTTCAGCCACTTAAACGTTTGTTGAAAAGAAATTAATATGCAGTATTCTTTTAAAAATTATAGGAACTTTATAGCATGAAGCTGCAGTTGTGTGTGTATGAAGTGTGCGTTCTTAAAGCTTAAAGCTTAGAAAATTTATTGCGGAATATCGAAAGTTCACAAAAAATATTTCTGGAAACACATTATGTCTTTAAAAAAAAATTGTATTAAAAAGATATTTCTGCAAAAAAATAAGTTTAAAAACTAATATACAAGAAACAAAGAAAAACTTAAAAAATATTACAAGAAACATTTTTAAATTAATTTTTTTCACCAACAAAAAAAAAAAAATTATAAAACAAATTTCTGAAAACAACTTTTAAAACAAAAAATTTATTTTTATATTATATTATAAAAAACTACAATTGGTTGCAGAATATCGCAATAGGTGTTATAAGTCACGGTTTAATATATTATAATAAAAATAAAGTTAAAAAAAATAAAAAAAAAATTTTTTTTAAATTAAAAAAAAAATATTTAAAAAAAAACTTAAAAAAAACATATTTATAAAAATTTTCACTTGAAAAAATATTTTATTTTTCTAAAAAAAATTACAAGAAAAATTTTCTACAGACAAAACATATTCTTACAAACAACAGAAATATATCTGCAATCACAAATTTTTTTTTAAACAAAGAATTAAATAAAATAAATTTCGTTAAAAAAAATTAAAATGAAAAAAATTTATGCGCAACATTTCAGTGCATTTTGCATTATTTTGTAAAAAAAACTAAAACATTTTCACTTGGCGCGTGCGTACTTAAATCTTTAAATCACTCCCTAAATACTTGAACTTTTACTTTTACTTGTTTTCGTGTTTTGTTTTAACTGTTTTAAACATTTGCGCATGGATTTTGCTCTTTTTTACATAAAGTTTAATGTCTAATATTCTTTACTTTAATTATTATTTATTATTATATATATTTTTTTTAGTTTTCAACTAATATTTTTTTTGTTGTAATTTATCATTTATTATATTAATCATTACTTTTGCTGAATTGATATTACAAAATTGGGTCTTTTCAAATTCCATACGATTTACAACTGAAGTCGACTAACATCTCTACACATTTACTTATTATAAATCTACACTTTATCGTTATTTAGAATATTTTTTTGCTAATTCTTAAAATTAATATTTTTATAAGTATAATACATATATAAAAAGTAATATATTCATAATCGAGCAAGAATGTGTCGCAGTCAGTGCGGGTCAAAGTAAAAGCTTATTTTATAAAATTAAATAAACACACAATAAGATCAGACTGAAAATTTTAGAATTTATCATCGACTGATTAATTAAAAAAAGAGTATGCCACAGAGCTTAATTACATCTACATACATATGTCTTCTATTATTGGAATCTAAACATGTTTTCCAACAAAACTTAGAAATTATTGTTGCAGATTTGAAAGGGTAATTGTTGTTGAACGACAGTCAGAATAAAGTCTCCACATAAGCTACAAGGAAGGCAGCTTTTTTCAGGCAGCTAAAGTTTTTTGAAAAAAAAAACTTTCGGTACAGATTACAGAAAAGCTTTTATACTGAAACTACTTTGTGTGTTGTTATACTACCGAGTTTTACCGAATAAATAAAAATGCTCAGAAAATGTCTATACCTTAATCCCGAAATGGCTTCTTTACAATTATAGTAAAGTATCTAATGTGGAAAGTTTTTATTCAAGTGAAACTATCGTACGTCATTTCGTCGATCTGAACTAGACGGAATATATTTTCGATTCGACAAACTTTGCTGAGTAGAGAATGGAAAAATCAACTGGCATAAATTAGTAATTCTAGCACGATTGGTGTGAGAAAGATAAGTAGAGCATGTGGTTATAACACCTAATAAGGCAACCACATACTCTCTTGTGCGAATCCAACTGGATTGCTTTGTTGTTGCCTTCACTTATACATTTTTTGACAAGAGAGCGGAGCACAAACATAACGATCTGAGATTGGTCGAGTGGAAGGCGGTTCGAATTAATAAAGTAATGAATTATAATACAGAATGTGTTGATGTGGGATAAATTATTAATATTATTTTTTATTTTTGAACTTCCTCAAACCTTAATTAAGAGAGAGTGAATTAAATCAGAGGCATATAATTGAGTAATAGGAAGACTAAAATTCGAAAATTCCGCTGAAACGATTTTATATTATTTTTATCCGATAAGCGATAAGGTATTCTTCTAACTGGTACCCACCAGACTAGGTCGACTCAAAAGAAATCCATTCTCTTTCCAATAAATGGCTTTTGTCATCTGTGCTTCGCTCTAAATAAGTGTAATCGGTTACGATAACTGGCGGTAGAACGATACGTTTTCGTACTAAAAAATCTTCTCAGACAGTTTTGCTATTGCCTGACTCAGTATTCTTTGAGCAACTGTCAAAGTTGGATTCCAGCAAAGGGATAATATGAAATATTTTACAGTTTTTCTTCGATAATAGTGAAAACGTAAGCCACGCGGCGAAAAATGTGAGTAGTGCTTATGGTCCGTAAGAGCAAATCTCGCGGAATTTCACTTTCGACAATTCCGTTCCGATTTTAATGGCAAAAATATGAAGTAATGGAAATCGTCGAGTCCGATCACCCTGTAAGCATTGTTTCGGTTGCTCAGGAGCTATAAATTGCAAATTAATCAAGTGGAACCATTTAAAAAGTGCGGAATATTAAAAGAAGCTCGATGTATGGTTGCCATACGTGTCAACGCAAAGAAACCTTTTGGAAAGATTTTATATCTGCGAATAACTTTTGATCTTGCGATTCATTTCTAAAGCAGATGGTTACTGGTGATAAAACGTGGGTGATTTGTGATAACCAAAAGCGAAATTGGTCGTAGTCGAGTCGCGATGAGTGGAGAGATTGACTTTTCATTCGAACCTGCAATGTCAACAAATAGACCGTTTAAAGGAAGCGATCAGCTTTGGCCAATTGGAGAGGAATTGTGTTCCACCGGGATAACGCTTGGGCCCACACACATCGATAGGTACCCGCCAGAAGCTTCGCAAACTTGGTTGCGAGATTCGTATGTATCCATCTTATAATACGGAACTAAGTGACTGTTTCTATAACGTTTAATTTTGCTCGTAAAAAATGGGTCTCAAGCCAAGCTTGTAAAAAGCGACAGCCCCGGCTTTTCGCCTATAGGGATGCGAAAATAGGGGTATAATGAAATTATCTTCAAAATGTCAATGAATCTATATGAAATATCTTCCTGTAGTTGCTAGATGTCTTTTGGCTTTAAATTGATAAAACATAATTGGTAATTTTTTAGAAGGATATGTTCGGTAGGAGGTTTACGAAGCTTAGAGCTGTTCTCTTCATGATCATCAATCACTGAGAGATACTTGCAATTGTTCAAAGAGAGAGTTCTGAAAGACTTTTGGCCCTTAGCTGCGACAAGTATGGTGTCTCGGCAAGGTTAGAGATTTCTGTTTACTATGAAAGACCATTAGTAGCGGTATAAAACGCGATTACTAAACCCAACTGCAGTTCATTAGGTGCTCAAAACTACACTTACGAGAAAGATAAATGCAGCGTGGCAACAATATGAAATTTGGAAAAAAACATAAAATTTTGAAAGATAGATTTTAAAATTTTTGAAAAATTATCTTCTATATTCATAACTAATTTATTGCGGCATCTGTGAGTATGAGCAAAAGCTTAGTTATTTCTAGTGTGTGTGTATGGTACTTTGGGGCTTTTAGGTTTTAGATTTTTGCTTCTTCGAACAGTTTAAAATCAATGTGCGCTTTAACATATCCTTACGAGTACTGCAATGCTGTTTGTTTTAGGGGCTTAACTTTTTTTAATTTCTTGCTGTTGTTTTTGTAAATTAACTGTACTGCATGCTTACTATGTGATTTATGTAATTTTGGTTTCTTTAATTTTTTTTTCGAATATAACTGGAAAGTACGTGTTCCTATGCAGTGAATGCCATTGTTTGTATGCATATTATTTGTTGTTTTTGTATTACTATTTTAGTTTTTGTATTTTATTGAGTAATACAAATTTATTTTATGTTTACCTTACGCTATGGGTTCTCACAATAATCACCTATTTATTTTGCTTGCCTTAATTAATTTAATTATTTTTAATTAAAATAGTCGTTGTGTCACAATTTCGCATTTACTTGTTTTTGGTTTGCTTTTACATATATGCTCGAGTGTTTTTTTGTTGTTTTTTCAATTACTAAAGTATAACTGCTTTTTGTTTTTAAATTTTAATTTTAGTCGCTTTTCGTCAAGCAGTCGTCGGTTTTGCGCACTGCACGCCTGCTGATCTTGTGTTCCGGGCAAATATTTGCAAGCATTAATGTGTGTTTACCGTTATTTTATGCCTGTGTGTAGGTGTGTGTGTATCTAGCATGCCGCTAGTGTGTATGTGTGTGCGTGCGCAGCCACGCCCCCAACAACTCACACAGCACTTTGCAACTCACTATTTGGTTTGGGCATACTGAATTTGGCATTTGATTGGGTGGCGTTGCCACACTTTTGCATTTCTTATACATACATATATTACTCAACTTCTATTGATTATGCATATATTCGCATATTTTGTTTTTGTTTTGAGTTTTTCTGTTTTACAGTTAGATTTTTAGTTGTTTGGCAGTGAACAAAGTAAATAATTTACGCCTGCTTATGCTTCTACAATAGGTCCTTATACTCAATTCAAATAACGGGGTAACACGCCGCACCTACTCGAGTATTGTGCACATTAGTAGACACTCTTCTACTTCTTCTTCGTTTTCTTCTTCCTATATTTTTCAGTACTTATCTGCAGCTTACTGCGCTTTATTGCTTTTCAAGATTGATTCAAAATACATATTGACATATGTATGTATGTATTTATATTTGTTTTGGTAATTTCTAAGGTCAGCCGCTCACCGCCCGCCGTACGCTTGACGCATGCTGCTTGCTTGAGGAGATCAAGCTTGATTGTTTAACACCAAGAAATGATAACTGATTGCTTAAGTTTAAATACATGCGATGGATTCATGAAGCTTAAGTCTCTCGAGCGCCGATTTTCGTCATAAAGCGCGCTGGAAGTCGTTAGATCTAGAACTAGTTCATATAGCGGTACCTTGAAAATCAGCACAAAAGAAATTGAGAGCTCGTCGAAAACTCTATTATACTTCGTGCTACTCTTGCTTCAATTGCCACCCTCGTCCAAACTAAAGGCGCGTCGGTTGAGCGCCACGACCACATACCGTTTGCCAAAGTAGGGAGAATCTGCACAAAATAGAGACATGTATACACATAGCAAACTTTTACAATACTTCGCGCTGGCGAAGCGTCGTCAAACGATCCAAATGTGTGTTAGATGTTAGATCGATGCACGATTGCTGTACATTTAACGGACACATCGATCGTCGGGTCGTTCGATCGGCTTCCTCACTTCTTGCGCAGGAAATCGGTATATTTGCGTGCACGCTTGCGCACCTTTTTGAAAGCATTGCTGATCTTAAAGCTTTCGGTGAAATGCTGATGTTGATGATGATATTGCGGGTGATTGTAATAATGATGATGTGCACCGCTATTGGGTGAGTGCTGTTGATCGGCGCCATGCGCCTGATAATGAAAATATGGATGATGTGCGTTCACATAGGAAGCGGCAGCCGGATTAATGGAGGCCGACAAACATGGTGAGGAGGCTGGCGATGCAGGCGATAGTGGTGAGCGTGGTGTTGGTGAAAATTGACAACTGCCACGACACGATATCAAATTGTGATCGGAAGCAGCACCGAATGATTCAAAAGAGACACCAGTGGGTACTGGCGATTGCAGTAGGGATGAGTGTTGGCCATCGCTTGTGGCGGTGATCGTTGGTGAGGCGCAAGTGGCCCTAGAGCAGCCACCTATTGCGCCCTCCTCCTCGGCAGCGGTGGTGGTTGTGGTGAAGTCTTTGGGCAGCTCACCAATGCCTAGCGGCTTGTCGAACTGTGAGTTTGCCGACATGTTTGTGTAGTCATAGCTTGGGTAGGTGTATGGCAGATAGCCGGTGTGGTGCGCCTCGGTTGAGACAGCGACTGTATCACCACCGCGTGTGGTATTAATGAACTTGACTTCATTGGCGTTGCGTTCGGTGTAGTTGCCGAAGACGATATTAATATTATTCGTGCTAGACGAGAGGTTGATGTTGGTTGGTGAGAGCGGTGTGCTGCTGCAAGAGGACGCAACACAGGCCGTGGCGCCCTCCGACTCGCCACCGGCTGTGCCAGCAGCGTTAGAATTCTGATTTAGATTTGTCTCTTTACTGGAGTTGCGTCGAAAACAGAACTCATAACCGCGCACGCTGTCACCACCCTCCGAGGAGGCAGCACCGGTATTGTTGTTGGCGAAATTGTTTTTATACTGAAATTCCAAGGCATTGCTTGGCTGGAATGGATAGTTTTTAGAATTGTTCAATACATCGCTGGACTGTTGATTGCCCTTCGAGAGATATTGATGTATGTCTTCGCTGGTGATCTGCAGATCTTGATCGAGGTAGGTGTTACATTGGATGTAGTTATTGCAACAGTTATTGTAGGAGTCCGCCTCCTGATGGAAAAGCACCGTGGTTGATGTCTCCTCAAAATCACAGTTCATTGGGCTCTCGCGACATTTCCGCGCCGCCGCTGCTGCCGAAGTGCTGGGCCGCTCATCGTGTGTGTGTTTGCGGCTGCTGTGCTGCATGGTGTAAGAACGATGCTCGCTCCGATGTTCGCTGCGATGCTCACACTTAGTTGGCTTAGGTTCGCGGGATACACGTGGTGTTTGCTCATCCGCCGAAGTCCAGGGATCTTTGGTGTCCATCTCGGCCACCGCGCGTTCGAATTCGGTAGGTGACTTACCATCGGCCAGAAAGCTCCAACGTATCGGTGACGGTGAGCACGCATACTCGGGCAGATCATTGCTCAGCGCATCCTTTGAAATTTGACGTTCGATCGTTACCTTAGAAGGCGATACTACAATTTTGCCACCACTACCACGTTTGTCCAAATCGGCGGCATCGATACCCATCTGTTTGGCGCGATCGAAAACGGAAGTTAGCGAACCGGGCTGACTGCTTGGACGTCCAGCGTTCAAGCCACGCAACGAAATCGATGTATAGCTGGGTTGTCGCTGGTGCAAACGACGTTTGCGTAGAGCAACCGATGCTGATTTAATAGAATTATTGCGACTGAGCGACGAACGTGAGCCATAAAGACTAGTCGAATCAGTTTGATAGCAATAATCTGAAGAGGTGCAACACGACGACGGACGACGTGTGGAACCATACAGATCCTCTGCGAAATATTGCGCAAGCTCAGTGCGCGAAGAGTTGCAACAGGTCTTACGTACCAATATCTCTTGCACCTCACGATCCACACAAGTTGGATCGTGGCACGTGTTCAGCGAGGTACTAGAAATATCTGTGGCTGAGCGATGACGTCGTGTGCAGCTGTTGCCATGTGTGTGGCTGTGATGCCGATTTGAGGAACGCGGTTCGCTATGTTGGCTATGCCCATGTGGACCATGTAAACTCGAATTACCGCTGCCGCCTCCACCTCCTGTATTACCATTAACGTTACCATTTCCATTCTGTTGATGACTGTGACGCGAACGCCGGCGTCGATGATTATGCTGATGATGATGTGGATGATGAGTGGATGAAGCTTGCGCATTTCCTGCAGGACGTGGTGGATGAGTCAGTGATGAACGCGTCAGCGAATCGGTTTCGTGCATATGATGATGCGATTGATGCGGTGATGAGTGCTGGCTGTGCGAGTGATGACTGTGCGGCGATGTATGGCGACTATGGTGTGGACTGTGGCTGTGCTTGCGTTGCGCTTGGTGGCGGTGCGGCGTCGGTGTGGTGGTGGATTGCTGAAGCGGTTCCGCGTAAGCAATGTGGCTGTGACAATGAGTTGGCTGGTGCATATATGGCTGATCGCCGTGCTGTTGTTGTTGCTGCTGTTGCTGTTGCAATTGCTGCAGGTGCGCTTGCGTGTCGTCACATACAATATCCTTATCATAGCTACAATGTACGTGATGATGTTGCTGTAACTGCTGTTGCTGCTGCTGCTGCTGTTGTTGTCGTGATGTTTTCGATTGTGTTGGGTGTTGTTGTTGATGTGGGTATTGGTGTTGTTCAGCATTCGTTGAATGTACACTGGCAGTTTCAGGAGGTGAGGCGTTCCTCAGTCAAGGCCCGCTGTTCGGGCAGACAGGTATTTGCTGACGATGGTGATGGGGCGCAGAGGCACCGCTCCGGCCCTGGAGTGTATTTCGGCCGCCTTCTAAACAACGCTCGGATGCAGCTGCATATGTTGCATAAATAAAATGAAAAATCCATTAAAATGTGTTTGAACTAATGAACGGAAAGCGTAAAAATACTGGCGGTGAAAATAAGTGTTTGTGTATGTGTGTGTATATATAAAAAGAGGCGAACAAAACTTTTTCGAGAAATTTTAATATTTTTCGAAGAAACTTTGTGTGTGTGTTTAGCAAGAAAGCATTGTGTCTGTGTCTTCTTCTGTAAAGCACTTATAAATCAAATTTATTCTGTTTTAGAACTAACAAGTTGCATGCAAGTTGGAAAAATCATGCCAGAAAAATCGCATGCGATATTTGAAAATATATAAGAGTACAAAGGGTTGAAAACTATAATACAATGATTATTCTCTTGTAAGTCATGCATATACTTTTTAACGTATATGAGATCTGGTTATATAATATTTATCGAATTATATAATGAAAGTGATATAATGTTCCACTATTTTCGATGAATGAACGGTATATGCATGGTAGTAAAGAAACAAACGAAAAATATTAAATTTTTATATATTTTTTTGTGGTTATATAACTTTTCGGGGCTATGGCCAACAACGGAGGTCATGAAAGTCCCTCTTGGGTAGTTGAAAAACCAGTCCTTTGTGGTGCTAAAGTTCTTAGGTAAGGATTATGAGACCCTTAGATATCGATAAAGAGCTTTCAATGTAACATAAATCTGTTGAGGTGGCAAATATCGCGCGAGCTCAAGGGAAATATTGTCGCTCTGCTGGCGGAATGAGTGTTCACCTCCCTGAAGAAGCTTGTACTCCGGAGCTGTATCTCTAACGCTAGTCTTGGGCGCGGGAAGGTTTTCTGCCTTCAACATTTTCCTGAAGCTTCAATTTATCCAAGAAAAAGCTCCCTGGATTCACATGTCCTCCGCAGGATTTGGTGTAGAGTAGGAACTTCCTGAGATAGGCTCTGCTACTCATTGTGCCAAATATTTAGAGTAGTTCTCCTTAAAATATTATTTTCTGTAATTCCTTTTGGTTCTGATGATAATAATGTTACGTACGTAGTAATCCTAAAACAGCATATGCTGTTGCCTAAATTCATTTTCCTTAACTAAAATACAGTAAAGTAAAAGTCTTATAAACAAATAGTTCGGAAGTTCTTCTAGAAAAGTTACCTCGAATCTTAAGCCGAAACTCCAAAATACTAAATCTCTCTCTTTACCAACCTTGAGGATTAGTCAAATAAGTATGAAATCAATACGATATAAAAACTTTCCTTATGTAAGACCTAATATCTAGGATAAGAAATCCAAAATAAAAACGCTATAATAGTTCCATAGACAAGAAACTACGAATTTCGTGAGGATAATTATAGTTGCTTCTAATCATTTCCTTCAGATGAGCCCTACCGCATATTGTCCCACTGTAGCGATAGTCTAGAGTCTACACAAACCATATAACCTCAAAATCCATACCATACCAAAGCTCATCACTTTGCCCCACATTGTTACTGTTGTTGTTAAGTAAACGTTAAAAATTTCTACAATTGTAAGTAATCTGAGTTCGTTTCGATTTTTTCTGTTGATCTCAACAAAATATTTTCCGATGAATTCTGTGATATGGACGTATTGACGGAATCGTACCTGGGATCGAAGCTGGGATCGGATACCTATTCCAACTATTTCGAAACTATGGGGGAAGGAAATTTAACTTAAAAATATGAACTGAAAGTTTCGGCCTTGAATAAGACTTTTAGTGTAAATGAGCATATGGCGGTGGTAAAAAGGGGTCTTGAACTTTAAAATATATTTGTCACCTCCTTCATACTGAGAAAGACTTTGTGCATAAAATTTGGCATCTTCAATAAGTTCAGTGGTTTTCATAAAAAAATATAAATATGCATTAGTTAAGTAGTTAAGTTGCAAGCGGGATTTCTTTAATTGTAATGCTATGCTTTCGGGGGCAGGTTAACAGCAGACCTTTAACTGGCTACTCACAACTATACGAATTGATTTTGGTTAGAAAAATTTTGCAATAAATTTTTACAATTAAAACTTTTAAAAGCTAAGTTAAGCTATTTTTCCTTATGCGATACATATATGAGCCTTATGAAAGCAAAAAACAAATTCATAAAATCAGACTTTTTTACACTCTGTTAGGGTAAAGGTGTAAATAGGAGATTTTCACTGTTGCCACTAACTTAGCGGGGTATTGTATGCGAATGCGTGAGTGTATGTGTATGTGTGTATGCTTTTGTGTGCATTAGTCTTCTGCGGCTGCTGGTGTCTCTTTGTTAATCAAAAATTTTCTTTATTTTTATTTTTTTTATATGAATTTTGCTGTGAGCTTTTTGTAATTGTTGGTGAACGTGAAAGTACGACAACTGCAACGGAACGCTACCTGACATTCTGCCGTGCGCCGAATGTCGCCGAAAACTGTCGCGATCGGACGCATACTCGTAGTGGCACTTGCGCGCCGGCACCGGCGTGTGTATGTTCGTGCCATAGTTGGTGTAACAGGTCGAACTGCCGGCCAGACTCGTTGTCGGACCCAGAAGATTTGTGCTATCGCTTAGCGGATATGGACCCATACCTTCAACCGTTAATGAGAACGAGGTGGTTCCAAACACTTCTTAGTTAGATATTTGAATTTTTATATATGGGTCGTTGGGAATTTTCAAATTGGAGTTTGGAGTGGGAAACAATTTCATTGTGTGTGTGTGTTTTCAGTTTTTTTTAATCATTTTTTTTTTGAATATTTTTTAAAAATAATGTTTTGAAAATTTTTTTTTGCACATTTTTATTAAATTTTTTTTATTTTTTGATGGTATGTAGCCCATACAATATTCATTAAGTTCCGAATGCGTTTTTTGGTGAATATAATTTTATAGGTGTTTTTGCTTGATGAAAGTGTGCGATTATTTGTTTTTGTGTTCATTTGTTTGACACAAAATTTATAACGCCAGATTGGAGCATTGATTTTCCGCAGACGCATTTGTTGTTTTTGCATATATGTTTTTGTAATATATAGTTTTTCCAATAGTATAACCCAGTAAGTTTGTGATATCATGCATTGAAATATTTTACCGTAAATCAAGTAGTTATGCCAAATTTTTTGAAAAATATAAAGAATAATTAGTCGATATTTATTTATAATTTATAAGAACTAATGAAACAACACGAAACTACATTTGTCTACAAAACAAAACACAACATATAAGACAACTATGTATGTACGTTATTTTTATTCAAACGAAAATCAAAAAAAAGAAATAATTAAATAAATAAAATGGAATTCAGTGAAAAAAAAAAAATTTGAGTAGAACTCGACGAAATAACTAATAAACTTAATTTTTGAATGCAACATGGCGAAAAAGTTTAGTATAATAGAGTTTATTTTTAGCGAACCAAGATAAGTGTGTACATTTTTATGCCCTCTGGAATTCACTATACCAAAATAACAGTGGTTATGATCCTGATCGTGGCATTATGTGGATAGTTATGCTGTTTGGGAAAAATTTTGCTCTTGATGCTGTTTTCCATTATTTTATAGAGCATTTCGCACATTCCTTTTGACAGCTTGAAAATGGAAGAAATCGGGTAATAACCACGCCCAGATTTTATAAAAAAGTTATGTTGAAAATAACTAAATGTGTGAAAAGCCACTAGCGAAAAATGCCAGAAGCATTCAATTTAATCATAAAGATAGGTTGGTTGGTGCAAAAATTGGACAAAGATCCTAGCACCGTCTACTTTTAGGTGAAGTCCTATTTACCGGCAACTGACCAACTAATTTGAACCGAATTGGGTATATAATATCATTTGTTAATATGTTACAGTTTGAACTCTCCATAGAATACAATTTTAACTTCCATCATATTTTTTCATTTTAAATTAATGAATAAACGGAGCATACCGCCTCAATCCCCCATATACAGAGTGTGTGAATCTCCCAGCTTATAGCTAGCTTTATCCCGAAAATATAAGTAAAGTTGCAAGATTTTTCGACGGTGTTGGCGTCGTTTTTTTGAATAGAATGTGCTCTGTGGTGTTAAAATTGTGAAATTTGCACAGTATTTCTCATAGCTTCCAAAGGCCTAGCGTATATGCCATATACAGGGTAGCTCACAAATTATGCTACAAAAACAAACCGTAATAAATTTTTTTCTGTGTGAGTAATCGACTTTGTTTTTCATTTTATTTGGCAGGTTAATATTTAAATTTCTTTAAAAATTAATGCATGGGATACCGAAAAGAGGGTTCGGATGGTATAGTGGTACCATGCTTTGGAGTTCGTCATTTCCGTCCAAAGGGAATTCAGACGGGATTTTGGCGGCAGGTCCCGAGTAGATGGTCCATAATGAGGTTAGTAAACATGTTTGCCGAATCTGTAAGTATCGCAAGAAGACCACACCATCGAGTTCCGTACATTCGTGTTCAAGAAACAATCGCAGTTGCATCGTCAATTCAGACAAATCCAAAAGTTTCGACTCAACGTCCCATTTTGATCTACCGGAAATGTAAGCAAGTAAAATTGCCGTATATGGAGTGAATCAAATCCAGAAATAATCCACGAGATGGAATTTCACCCAGAAAAAGTCACTATGTGGTGCGCAGTTTCATCAAGGTGTATGGTCGGGCCATACTTCTTTGAAGAAAACGGTGTAACAGTAACTGTCAATGCGCAACGTTATATAAAGATGTCGAGTGAGTTTTTTTACCTAAAACTGCGTAAAAACATATTCCTTAATTCCAAATTAATATCAAGAAACTTCACTTTCCGCTGGCCCCCAAGATCACCTGACCTGACTGCACCATACTTTTTATATGGTAAGTAGATATCGGTAAAAATGCAATTGCACAAACCTCATCATTTGGACTGCATATGTCGGGCAGAGGTCGTAAAAGAGTTGCTTGACAACGTAACTCAAGACCCTACTCATTGAGCAAACACATAAATATTGGTGACGAGATGAGAGTTTATGTTTATGACGTCGAAACTGTTCAACAATCAACGCTCCAAAATGAGCCGAAACCGAAAAATGCAAAATTCGCCGAAAGCATCCCAGTGCTGGCTTATTACAAGCATATGTAAATAGCATATATAAAAAGCGTTGGCATAATTGTATTGACTCAGCAGTTAATTTTGATGGCGATAATAAAGATTTTTATTAAAAGTCGTGAAAATGTTGACTGACAGCCAAAGTCCGGCGTAAATTTGATCAGATGGACGAATTCTATAAAAACATGCTTGACATTACTGTTGAGCGGTCAAAAGGGCAAACTTGAGCTACTTTTGAATGGTTGCACGTCAAAGCGCCTTCCGAAACTGGTTCTCCAGAGCGGATTATTTTTATATTAACCAGTATTCAATATTACATTTTTTTACACTAATTTCCCTTTTTCAAAATTACTTAAAATCATCTTCTGAAATACAAATATTAGCAATGAAAGTTATTTGAATTATCATAAAATTAAATTTAAATATTGTTTTAATTAAAGCTATACATACAATGACATATAGAAGTTATGACAATGATTACTACAGAAAAAAAAACTCAGCGGATTATATATGCATGTATATAAAAACGGTTATAATAAATGAATGCAACTAATTTGTTAAATATTTAAAGCGTTCGTGATTGATTAGTAATATTACTATAGAACTATGTATGAGCGAATGAATGGTGTGGCAAATTGTTAGTAATGAATTTGTGTAGGCTTCACACGTTGAACGAAAATATATTAATTATAAAGTAATTAGTTTGTTAATTTTGTAAGTAGTTAATTGCACACGTGACACGTTTACATTTTTACGAATACATTCTGCACAACAACATATTGTTTTTGTTTTTTTTTTTTTGTTTTTGCTTATGCTTTTGTTTTTAGTATAACGAATATATCTCTATATATAAGTATATGTGAGTAGAACTTTGTTAATTTTTCTTAAGTAAGTGTAGTTATATTTAGTGGATCTTTGTTGTTAATCGGTTAGTTTATTACTGTGTACACGAACACAAAAACGACAAACAATATGGTAAAAAACGAAACCAACAATTTGGAGAAATTTTAGAAAATTGATTGTTTGATTCTTACGTGAGTCATGTTGGGTCTTTTCCTCAGATACCATCAATGCGGCATGTTCGATGCCAGAATTCATACTTTGTGGCTCCAAGCTATTTGTGCAGTTTAGCATACTCCTGAAATTCGCACACTCTACGATTATGTTTTAAGTGTATAGGATTTTCTTTTTAAAATTCTAAATTTTGTAAAATTTCAATTGTTATTGCGTTTTTGTATGTGTGTTTTTTTTTTTTTTTTGTTTGGTTTTGATTCAGTAGTGTGACTAGTTTGTGTTTGTTGTTGTTCGGTGTTTTTTTTTTTTGGTTTTGTGAACTTTTTCTTATGGTATAAAGGGATCTCATTTCTGAATATGTTTGTTTCACTGTTAGTTTGTGTTTTGTATGAATTTACTCTGTAAATGTGCCTAGAGTTTGGTTAGCGAATATGATTTTGGTGTATACCTGAGCAGTTGTGGAATCTGTGGTTCTGTGGATTTTATAATCTTTCAGTTGCTTTTAAGAGGTCTCTCATTCATTTTATTAAAACCGTTATGCAAGAGAATGCGTTACAAAAACAAAGGTTAGATTAAAAATAAATTAAGAAGTGTTTGATCATAACCTCGAAAATAAATTTGAAGGAAAACAAAATTTGTGAGACGAAAATGCACAAAAATATAAAAGTTGATTCATGTTAGTTTTATATTATCAATTACCTTTTTTAAGACCTACATTAATTCTAATGTAAAATTTATTGTAACCTAGTTTTCGTTTGAATTTTAATCTAATTCAATTCTACGTTAACTTCAATATCAGTTTAACCATTTCATTAATATTATTAAAAATTTCATTTGAATGGTAAGACCAAAATTTATTTTAATATTAATCTAATTTTTAATTTTAAATTTTATTTTCATATTAATTTTAATATCAATTTTAATTGTAATTTCCCAATCAGTATTAATTTCAATAATTATTTGCGTTTTAATTTTAATTTGTATTTTAAAATCAATTTGAATTTATTTTCGTCTTAATGTGAATTTTTAAATCAATATTAATTTTAATATTAATTTAAGTTTAATTATAATTTAAATTTATTTTCAAATTTGAATTATATTAAGATTTGATTTTTAATTTGAAATTGAACTTGAATGAATTGAATTTGAATTAAAATTTGGATTTGGTATTTAAATTTTAATTTTAATTAAATTTTGATTATAAGTATAATTTTTATTTTATTTTTAAATTTTAATTAAATTCAAATTTATTTTGAATTAGAATTAGAATTTGAGTTTGAGTTCGAATTTTTCTTTTAGTTTTATTTATAATTTTAATTTTAATTTTAAATTTAATTTAATTTAAATTTTATATATAATTTTTATTTTAATTTTAGTTTAAAAATTTTTTATTTTAATTCTAATTTTATTTTAATTATATTTTTATATAATTTTTAATTTTAATGTTAGTTCTAATTTAAATTTAATTCTAATTTCAATTTTAGTTTTAATTTAATTAAATATTTGTTTTAATTTAATTATTTATTTTAATTATAATTATAATGTTAATTTTATTTAATTCTGTTTTTAATTATAATATTAATTTTAATTTTATTTTTATTTAAATTGAACTTAATTTTAATTGTATCTTGATTTATAGTTGAATTTTGATAAGAAATTAAATCTTTAATATAGTAAAAAATTTAATTTTTAAATTTAACTTCTTACTTTCCATTTAAGCTAATTTTAAATTTATTTCGATTTCAATTTATTTGTATAATTTTTAATTTTAATTTAACCTTATTTAGTTTCGTTAGGATTTTTTTTGAAATTTCGTTTACCTTGCCAATGTTTTTAAGATAAATAGAATTAAAACACAATTTTTCCTTAAATTTATTTTAATTGTGATTTTGAACAAGACTTAATACAAACAAAAAATAATTTAGAAAAACTGATGCATTTATGTACTTTAAATATATACAAAAATAAATTGGATATTTAGAAAAAATAATTATGAGAAATCAAGTAATAAAATCGGACGTGTATTTGGTTTTGTGATTCACTGTTGTTTCGTGCGCTCGTCTGCCGCATGGCGAGGGGGGATTTCAATATCGGCAGTGGAATCGCTTTGTCTGTGCATGGATTCATCATCGCTACAGGAGAGGACGTGAATGTAACGGAAAATATATATTAAAAAAATATAAATAATAATAAAAAATAATAAAATTTAACAAAAGATAATTTTTTTTCCAAAAATGAAAGGCATAGATTATAAAGATTGTGTATAAACGTTATATTTGATTAAATTTTTTTTTTTAATTTGTATATTCTTAGAGCGCAGTTGGCAAATCCTTTCCAGCAAAAATATTCAAGCTTATAAGTATGCAAGTGTAAGTGTACGAGTTGGAGGAAATGTAGAAAATGAGAATGCATGAAGAAACAACAATTTATGAGCACAAATTTCACCTTTCAACGGCTCATCGATAATGAAAATTTGAGCTGAATGACTGAGAATTTGGAATTTTGAAGAGAATATGTGAATAATTAAATATATATACATTAGAATTTCAATGTTTTTTGATGATAAATTTACGTTGAGAGTGACACGAAAGCAGGCATTAAAAGCATTCAAAATCGTCAAAAATATTTAAGGAAGGCAATATATATGTAAGTATATATTCAATATAGAGAACGAAAAAGAAACGAGTCGTAAATATCATTGTATTAAGTTCACTAAAGCGTTTCATGGAGAATATTCCAAAACACAAACTACAAATAACGGTGGTTTAACTACGGCAAAGGTATGGCCAGTTAAGGAAGTTGAAGATGTAAAGAGTAAACTAAAGAGAAAAGATAAACTCTATGCTAGCAAATTCTCAGACTAATTCGCATAGTTTTTAATAATAATTGTTTTTAAAAGTTTTTAAAGCGTTTTTTTAAATTTTCATAATAATTTTAAATTTTAAAATTTCTCTTCATCTAAAAATTTGTTTTATTGAGAACAGAAATTTGTGTTTTTGTATTTTGTTTCATTTTGTTGTTGTTTATCATGCAACTTACCCATACAGTCTACTATCTCGGAATGTCCTTCTGTGTGTTAACGTACGTTATTTTATTTATTTATTTTTTTTTTTTTTTTGTTGTAAACGGTAATTAATTAATTTTTGTTTTATTTGGTGTACGGTTGTTTAATAAAATTTGTGGAAAAAAATTAATAGAAATCTCAAATTTTATTTCTCAGTGACAACATGACAAGCAAATGCGTTATAAAATTAATATAAATTTATTTTAAAAAATATGAAGTTTGTAAAAAACTTAAAGGTTATAAAATATTAATTAATTTCTAAATTAAGGTCGTGCAAATGTTGGCTAAAGGAAATCATAGGAAAAAAAAAGAACCGAAGATGTTATCGCGTATATGACTTCGCCGTCAAGTGAAATAATTTGTTTTTGTAAAAAGGCATAATATATACATTAGTATTAAGTAAATAGAACTCGAGTTTTAGCTATCGAGAAAGCTTAAAAAAACAGAGTTTGACTGTGAAAAGGCAGCTAGATGTGGAATTAATTAGCAATGGGTTTAGGTTCTCTCAACTGGTAAAGTTGAGTGGAATTTGTTCAAAAAAGGTTTTGCTCTTTGCCCTTTAAAAGATCATATTTAAAGATGAAAATATATATTTATATTATAAATACCAATCATTAGCATACATTTCTAAGGATACATTTCTAGAGAGAGTGACGAGAGAGAGTAAGGTTGCAAACCTCACAGAAAATTCTCAGCGTATCAGAAAAGTCCTCTATATTTTTGTTGTAGCCGTAGAGGGCATTTTTCAAATAGTTGTAGAAAATACCGCGGAATTGATAGTTTTTGCTGGTATATGGTATAGAAACTCCGGTCCGTTTTGGTACTGAACATAAGACTCTCGTTAGAGCAGTGTATTTTCTTTAAGAGATGATGATTTCTAAATTATCTCAATATTTTGCCTATCTAAAATGTGTTCGCAGATCTATGGATGGTTGTATTAACGGAATAAATATATATATAATATAATACCTAAACTACTAGTTCCTATGGAAATTTTTTTTACGCTATAAAAAATGCACCTGTGAAGGGTATTATAACTTTGGTGCAGTCGAAGTTACCGTTTTTTTGTTTTTGAGAGAAAATTTAAAAAAAAAAATTCTGTCGGGAAGTCTCGAATATATAATATATAATATTTGATTTAAAAATGGATCAGATTATTTCTAACCAGTCACGAGGTATTACAGAGACTTACTAAGTGATTTTGAACTGTGCAAAAGTTTTTTAAATGTCTAACATATTAACATTACTCAGTTTATATCGATAATTTGCCAACAAGGTTATGATGCCAAGGAGTGTTTTCATACATATTATATTAGTGACACGTCGTATTAGTGACAAATCGATTAATTCTCTAATAAAAGACAACTAATACATGTGAAATGATCCTGATGACATTATTAAATATTCGCTTTCCTTTTATTAGCAGCTCTCACTTGTTGGCTCTCTCGCTTTCTCTTGCTTTAACTTTATCTGCTGAGGCTTCACTTTAACGAGGTTAAGTATTAAAGTGAACAGATATAAAGTAAAGTATAACGTAATTTTTTTTATTGAAGGTATTTAATTTTTTCTTCCTACAAAAAATCGTTGTTATCGTACTGCGTATACAATAAAAAAATATCTAATCTATTGATGCGCTTTTTACATTTACAAATTATTTACACTCAAATAAATCACATTAAACAATTTACTAATTTCGACTTAATCGTTTTTTCTTTGAAAGTTTAACAACAGTATATTCAAATTGAGATAATGAAATGAGAACCTCTTACACTTCAATATTTCTTTTAGTATAACTCTTAAGCACTGTCAAGAAATAAGTATCGGTGATATGGAGTTAGTATTATTACAATTATAATTGGCAATTTGACTGATATGATGAGAATAAGTGTATGTCTTTGGCAATTTTTAATTAATTACTCATAATTATAAACAATTTAGCTCAAATATAAGTATATTTATATGTAAGTAAATATTTTATTAATCGGTTTTTATACCTTCCATTTCCGTGTCGGAACAGCGCGCATATCTCCTCGAATGTCTTATTCTTAGTCTCAGGAACCTTCTTGTAGGTGAATATCCAAAATATAGCTAAGAAGACGCTAAACGGCAAGAATGTGTAATTCTCCAATTCAGCCTGTGGGTGGGGTTAAACAAATTTTGTTTTAGAAAGTTATGATTTTTCGTACCAATTTTTTTTTTATAATTTAATAATAATAAATAAAATTAAAGTTTTAATGAAATATTTTCCTTAATCTCTTTTTTATAATTATTTGTTATAACAATTTTTCATACAATAATATATTTTAAAATATTTTTTATGATATTCGTTTTATTAATAATTTTTTTGAAATGTGTTTTTTATAACAATTTTTTTAGAATTATTTTTTGTTTTTATACATTTTTTTCAATATTTTTTTTCTAATATTTGTGTTTTAATAAAAAAGTTTTTTTTAAATTAAAAAATAGTTCTTTTTTATACTTTTATAATTTTTTTTTTTTTAATTTTTTTTTAATTTTTTTTTTTATAAAATTGTTTTTTTTTTGTTTTTTACATTACCTTCAAACTGGGGAAACCAATGCCGACAACAAAGTTCGCCATCCAATTGACTAATACAGCAATCGCCATCGCGCTGGGTCTGGGGCCTTGTGAGAACAGTTCTGCCGTGATCATCCACGGTATAGAGCCGGGTCCAACAGCAAAGAAGACGACAAAGCCGAGCGTTGACACCACCGACAGATACGACATCCAATCGATCATTTCCTGTACATAACCAAAAAACTCCTATACAAAACGTGTAGTTACCGATTCTCGATGATTTGTAGGCTTTTTCTTGTTTCTTTTTTCATTACGTTTGTTTTGTTTTTGTTTTTCAAATGTAATTTCAACAAATCAAAGAGAATAAAATATTCATAAAATATAATTTCAAATCAATAAAACATAAAATATATTAAGTAAATGATGTAACTACGGCGTTTTTGTCTAGAAATGGTATTGTTAACTGTTTCGAAATAGTTTCAACACATTAGCGTTTCGCATAATACTCCGTTAGCCTACAAAAAGTCTTTACAAAGTTGTTGCAAGTTATATGTTGGTCATAAAATAGGGTTCTCTGTACAAAATAATTTTTTACATTGCATTCTTTGGAGGCCTAGCGCTACGGACGCTTTCATTACCTGCGCTCCGTGCGAAAGCTATAAAAGTTCAAAAGCTCAAAGCTCAATTAAGTTCTGTACAAACAACTGATTATTTAAAAGAATTAAATTGTTATTTAATTATAATCGATAACTTTATTCTTTTTACAATTTGTTTGAAGTTTTTTTATTAATTCGCTCATTTTTTTTATTAATAAATATATTATTATTTCGTTAAAATGACTTTTAATGTAGTGTTTGTTGCTGCTCGTGAAGCTTCAGCTGTGTGTGACTTTTAACAAAGTGTTCATATCTTTTTTCAAAATTTTTAATATATATAAAATTAACCGTTGCTGCAGCTTGTGTTTGTTTAAAATCCTACTCAGTGAAATTTCGACATTTACAAAATGACTTACGCTTGCATCTCTCGCTTTACATACATACATATGTACATATTGCTATATATGCATATTCAGTGTTTTTATTGTTGTTGGTGGCGGCAATTAGCGTTTTGTGTATAATTTGCTTAACAAAAAATATTTTGTAAAAAATTTCAATAATTTTATTGTGTGTTTGCTTTTCTGGAACAGTGCATATAAATGCTTTCTTATTGCTCTTTGCGTGGGTTCGTGTTTTAAGTCTTTTATTTTGATTTGCACTGCTTGCCGAATTGCTTGGTTTTCAAGTGCGTAATTATTTCAAATAATAAAAAAAGAAATGAAATAAATAAATTAAATTTCAAATAATTTGTTTGCGCTTATAACTGTAAATTGCGAGCAAGCATTGCTACATACACACTCAAAACGAGTAATATTGTATGTGGGCGTAGTAAGCAATGCAGTTGGGACACAGTTGCAGCGTAAAATAAATTTTTGTTTTAATATTTCAGCTATAAAATAAATAGTAAGCACTGAAAAAGCTTAAATTATTTAAATGAAAATAATTTAAAGAAAAATACATTTTTTTGTAAGTGTGCTTTTTTCGCTGAGGGTAAAAAGCCTGCTAAGTCGAGAATTTTTTTCATTTTGCAGGGGAACAGACATTTGAATAAATGAGTTTAGCTGTGGATTTTCTGGTGAAATAGATTTTTTCTTTTTAAAATTATTTTTTTATGCGAAGAAAATATTTTTTTTTAATAAAAATTTATTTAAAATATAAAAGTATATATCAGTTATGTCATAATGAGTTAAAAAAAAGCTAAAATTATTTATTTCGCATTAGAAAGTGACGGGTCTACGACAAGTAAAGTCAGATGGCCTCGCATAATTTACTGAAATGTTATATACCATCAGCTAAGGACAATAAATTCCAATGTCAAAAGTATTCAAATCGTAATTTAAAGCTCCTTTTTAAGCTTAATTGGTATTTATTCTTGCTTAGTATGAGAAAATGTAGAAAGAAAATTTATGAATCCTATTTCGTGGCCTAGTCTCCCTAATTTAATCTTCTTATAAAGAGAAGATACCGGATTGTCGTACAAAACTAAGCTCATAAAAGCAAGAGCTTTCACAAAAAGTTCTCGGAGCTTGTGAAAGACTTTAAGATCTGCTGATATACCTCCTTTAACTATTTAAATAAGTATATCAGAGTAACTTTAATGGTTCTAATATTTTAAAGCTTCTTTAAAGTTTTTTACTTATCTCATATTCTCCCTCAAGTAGGGAAAAAGTAACGTTTGAAAGCTTTCTAAAATGGGGCTCGGTTCTTATTTCATAGCTTATTCGCGGGCTATAAATCTCTATATATTTTTTAATATATATAATAACGCTAGTTCTTATTTAATATGTGAAATCATCTGTAAGTAACATAGTAACTGATCTGACAAGCTTTTTCTAGACTTGCGACGTTCATCAGATGAGAAAAATTGCCAGACTTGAAAAAAAGTCAACTTAAATTAGCATTTTTGCTTTATTGTTTTTGAGAAATAGTTTGGTATATTTCAAAATCGATCGGATTTGTGTAAAGCGGTTGAGAATTAGAAAACCAAATATCAGTTTAATAACATTGTGGTCATGATTTAAGCTATTTGTGAACTTTTGGAACCATGTTACTAATTAATAAAGTTGATGAGAATTGCATAAAATTTTGGTGTTTAATGAAATTGTTAGTTTGCTCTTCGCTTAACCGTTGTCTAAGATCGTATGTCTGGACTTAGATATAGATATTTGTACTGATAATTAATATATGAAATTGTTTTGTATTTTTAGACACACTTTAAACTCATTTATTCAAATACTTAACCTAAAAACGTAATACAGTGTAAACAAATCACAAATACTGAAGCATGCAAAAACAATTATATCAGATGAACTAAAATTGAAACAAAATAGCTTTGTGAAGACATTTACAGCTGAGAAAAATCAACGAGTGCTAGAATTGCAAGCAAACGAAAAAGTTGCGAACTCAAAAAATATATTTTATGCTTTGGAAATATTTGAGAAATCAAAACTATTATACTGAAGGGAAATTTTATTTCATTCTTTTTTAAAAATAGATGAAATTTGCAAAGCGTGCACATGCGTTTTCATGATATATTTTATTTATTATTGTTGATATTATATTTATTTTTAGGTAAGAACGAGTTTATATCATGTCATGCTATAAATTATTCTGGGTATTATAAAGGTCATAACTACCTAAAATGATTAAAAATGTAGTTATATGTTTAATTAAAAGCTTACTAATATTTTTTTGGTATATTCAAAATAAGTTTGATAATAAATGACTAAATATTCGAAATTCTGATTTTACTAAGCATTCCTATGGCATGCAGTAAAATTGCCCGTAAACGAACAATTCTTGTTCAAAATATTTTTCGAAATAAAAAAAGAATTTTCAAAATCACAGAAACTAAATCGGCGACCTTTTATATAAGACGAGCATAGATATTATTATTTAATTTTTCTAAAAAATAAATGCTATACAAACCACATAGACTCTTAACAAACGGTAAATGCACGTTTCTTAAAAATTTTACAATTTCAATACTTGCCCTTCGCTGTAAGTGGGCCAAACATTCTTTGAACCGAATGTTGGCACAACTCATTTGTTTACTTGCCTTAATTAAAAATGAAATCGTTATGAATATCGAGAATATGAACATGCCACCTAAACCGTATAGCTGGAGTGTTCGACGACCGGTACGATCCATTAACGGTATTGAGACGAGCGTCATTAGCACCTGTAAAAATATGAATACATTTCACCAGAGAAGTCAATCGAAAGCTGTGCGTTCAAACCATTATGGCGCCGATGCCTATCGTTGAGAATTTAGCGCTCTCCTCCGTCAGGCCGGAACTCATGAATAGCGATGTCGAATAGTAGAGTACCGCATTGATACCGCTAAATTGCTGACTCAGCTGCATAACAATGCCGATAATCAATGGCGGTCGTAGTGTGGGCGAACAGATGAGCTCCATGGTGGAAATGTGGCTTTCGGTTTGTTGAGCGCGTTCTTCGGCGCGCATCTCTTCGATGTCTTCCTCAACCGAACTCGAGGCACGTAGTCGTCGTAACGCTAGAATCAGAAGTGTATTTATAGGCTTGAGAAATAATTGAAATTGGCTTTGTTGAATTTACTCTCGCCCTAAATGTAGGCAACCTTTTCGTTTTTATAAAGATAACGATACTATATGCTTTGTTAGTATAAACTTAAATATGGACTGTGTCATATATCTTTTCAGAAAATAAAAACAATTTGGCGTTACTGTGTAGCAAAGTCTCATACCTTGTCATAAAATTGTCGGATATAGTAAATACCAATAATATTAGCTGTCAACTTACCTCTTCGGGCTTCCTCCTCCCATTGTTTCGTTATAAGCAGATATCTGGGCGATTCCGGGCATACCGGCAGTAATATTAATTGCAATATTGCTGGACATATGGCTAGACCAAGTAAAACTGGCCAGCCATCATTAGTTCCTAAAATTTGTTCGATTCCCAACACTTGGGATAGTAGTAAACCTATTGTCACAGCCAATTGATTTACAGTACCTAATCCACCGCGTAAGTTCAGTGGCGCTATTTCGGAGATGTACATTGGCACCAATGATGTATTAAGACCTACAAAAATTAATTTAAAAAGATACCACACATATTTAACGCGTACATTTAGAATTTTGTATAGATAACGCACCGCAATTAACACCAATAATAAATCGGCCAAGGAATAACATTTCATAGGAATGACTAACTTTGGTAAAACCCATTAGACAAGCACCCGATATGCCAAGTACATTATTTAATAATAATCCGCCTTTTCTGTAATACAATAAAAATGAGTCAAGTGATTACTTTTAATTAATTCTTCAAGTAATTACTTATAAAATTATAGTAAATGTATGTTTACAATATTTATAAATAAGAACCGCAACATACTGACTCACTTTTTTTCCGGGCATTTTGTGCACTTACCTGCCGAAGCGATTGGCCATCCAACCGCCGCTGAAACCACCCAACATGCCGCCAATGGCGAATATCGACACCGCCACCGAGTACAGCTGTTGTATGAACTCCTCGCTAATATCCTCACCATAACGATCCTTGTATACATCCTTCATGAAATTCTCAATATTCTTTTCGGGCGCATTTATCACACCGGTATTGTAACCGAACTGCAACATACCCAGCACCGCTGAGAATATCGAGTATGTTAGGAAGAAGGTAAGACCCTGTATAAATTGGAGAAAGAGAGCGAAAAAAGTAGGCAATGTAAATAATGTAAATTTCTTAAAAATTTTATGGAAATGTGCGCAGTGGAATATAAAAAATTAAGCTGAGTGCAAAACTCAAAATATAGAAAACATAATATAAAATAATTTTATTACAAATGTTAAGCCGAGTAAGTTGTACCAATGTGAACACGAGGTAATGAAGTGATTTTGTTGCTTCTAGAAAATATCTGATAAAAATTTGTTATAGTAAAAATAAAATTGTTTACTTTTTAGTTCTTCGGAGAACAGCTTATAAGTGAAGAATTTTTAATAATGATGATAACATCCAAGGAATTATGGTCTTTTGTATTGTATATAAGACTGATTTCCAGCGACTTTAAAAATACTTATCTTTTTTGTTATTTAGTTAATGTTTTTAATCAAATAGTTGTCGTAGAGTCAAACTTCTTAGCTTAGCAACTTAAAAAGGTGTGTAACCAAGCTAGAAAAGGTTAAGTGCTTGGATTGTAAGATCAATTGGTTGTAGTTTTGTCTACTTTGGATTCGGCAAATTGCAATAAATTCATAAAAGCATGAAAACTTCAAATTCCAGAGTTATCTTGAAGTTTTCGTGTTAGATATGCTTTTTAGACATACGAAGCTTGTAGGAATTAAAATCCCTATTCTGTGCACTTGAAAAATTCAAAAACTTGTAATTTGTCAAGACTTATTTTTTATTCAGTGACCTAACAAAAATTTTGCGTTTTGCATTATTCTGTTCACCAAAGGTATGTGGAAAAGCATTGCAATCTTAAGCTTTATATTATATCAAAAACGCCGCTAACAAACAGCATTTTTTTCTAAATAATATTTTTAATAAATTATCAATTTATTGTTAAGTTTCAAGTGCACAGAATAAAGGTCTAAAACTAGCTTTAACATAAAAAAGGTTTAAGCTTACAGTAAAGACATAAACCTTAGCATTGCTGAGAATAAATATTTATTCATACAGGTCAGTGGCTTAAACTTTTCTTTAACGATTTTTGGAAGAGTAATTCTTCGAACAGAATATTCACGAGAATCTATATAGTGTCATATAATGGGGCTTGGTGCTTTTTTCAAAAAGCTGTAATTGCTGTAAAATTATATAAAAGTAAACATTATAAAAAAAAATAAAAATTATAAAAAAGGCAATAAAATATTTATCAAAAAATAAAAATGCAAAGTAAAATACAAAATCAAATATTTATTTTTATTAGCTTTTACATGAGTTTTTGAATTTTTTTCAGCAAAAATTATTACATAAAATTAATTATAAATAATTAAATAAAGGATTATGAAGAAGCGGTCTGTATTGATAAATGACATTATGCGCTAAACTTTGTTGTCATACTGTAAAAGTAATAAGCAAGTGTATGTAATTCGTGTACCGATATGAGAACCGATTGTATATAGTTTTTTTTTTGTTGTTTTTGTTTTATAAAGTTTTGAATTTGGTTGATTTGCACGCATAATGAGATTTTACATTTTGTTGTACATGAATATAAATGAAATTCAAGTATTAATTACACAACATGGCAAATAATTTAAGCTACAAACTTGTTCTAAAAGTCTTAGCTTCCGTCTGTGTGTGTGCTCCTCCAGTCTGTCGACGTATTCGCGCAGCTCTTCGATTTCCTCTTTAACTTGTTGCACGGTGTCTAATTCGTGCTTGATCGCCACCATGTCACGTTTCACCTAAAATTGTGGACAAGTTGAGTTAATTTGGTGAAATTGTAATGTATAAATATTGGTTTTGAAAGAAATATTTGAAAAAATTTCATTAAAATTTATACTCTTCTTTAATACAAAATATATATACAAGTATATATATTTATATTATATTAATACTCTTAAAAATAAGTTGTATGCAATTAGGTGTAGTTTTTATTTGGAAACAAATAACTCTTCTGAATCTTAGTGAAACAATATGATAACACTGGACTTAGTTTGCTTTCAATATGGTCGACTTGTTTCAACTATTGTCAGATAACTCAAGAGAGAGAGAGAGAAATAGAGAAAAAATACGTTTTTTTTGTCACAGAAGTCGTGATTTCATAGCTTGGTTTTTGATATAATATCTGAAAAAAATTATCTATTATACATAGAATGTGAAGATTTGGTATCCTTTCATAAAAATCTATTATTGTGAACTGAAGTATTTCTTAAAACTCCTTGTTATTTCTTAATTGTTTTGGGCGCCAAGTAACAGCGGAGTCGCAGGTAACTGCAAAGCTGACGAGCTGGCAATGAATCATGGGGACGGAGCTACTCTCTCTTCGTGTGTTCTACAACTGAAAAGCTGGGCCTCACGGGCTTCCATAAGTTCTTGCGTTGTTACAAAATGTTCGCAAGATGTCTAGTGAGCTCTTTGGGGGTTGCAACTGGTCATTGCCCTATTGATACCTACGCTGTAGATTTACGAATCTTACCAGATGCCAGTTGTAGAAGCTGTTTAAACATTTTCTACTCGAGACCTAATAAAGCCTAATCTCCAATTCTTGTAGATTTCTATGTTTTAGAATTGTAATGTTCTTAGGTGATTTTCAATTTGTAAAAACTGAATAAAGGCTTCCAAGTATGATCGCCATCTTTAGGATTAGCCATAGAACCTAATCTAACTGGTCAACAGTAATTCAAGCCCGTGGATCTTAACGTGCTTAACGAAAGTGAGTGAATATGAAACGGCTAAAAAAAGTACATACTAAATTTTTTAGTTCACGAAAAGTGAACAGATATCAGACGTAGGAAAATTATATTTATATATATAAGTATTCATACAAGCGTTCAGGTTTAAGTCATCAATAAAGTGCATCGATGAACACTTTTGTCTCACTCACTCACTTTTCGAGCAGATAGTTTCAAGATAGATCGCTTGCGTATGCATATGTTTATTAGCTGATTTCGTTTTGACAGCAACAACAGTTCTTACTCTCGCTCTCAAGTTCTTACGCTTACGACTTTTGCTCTCTTCTATAGGTTTTGGTATCAATAGCGTTGAAGCTTGGTTAACTACAAGTATAAATAATTTTACTTTAATCTGTTAATTAACATTTACATCTTCTCTCTTCTCAAAATTCTCTGGTCTGCCCATATATAATAGAAGAAAAACTATCCTGTCAATAAAGCAAGTGTAATGGATAAGCGCAGAAGTAGCTGATTTTCTTAACTAGAATTGCTTTTAGCACAGTGTTGACCCACAATATCAATTTTTTGTTTTGATAGCTGTCATTTAGATACGAAAAATTGAATCTAAAATTATATTTTATTTTTATTTTTTTTTAAATGGCAAAAATAAATATATCTTATTAAAATTTATATGTATTATATTTAGGTGAAATTAATACCACAGAAAAATTATACCAGTAAGTTTTTTTAAGGAATTAAATATATATCAATACATATTTAGTAATGAATATTTTCAACGCTATCTACTAAAAAATACTTTCTTATGCATATTCAGTATTCACAAAATTTTCTCTAGACTTTCATCAAGAGATTTATTTCGATATGTAAGTATGTAAACCCAAAACTCACCTCAGACACTTCACTTTGACAGCTCTCCACGGATTTGGTCAGCTCCTGCAGCTGTGTACGTATTTCACACAAGGCGACTGTCGTCTCCAAGTGTCGATCGCCTCTTTGAAGCTCATCCAGTTTAGCTGATAAATTCATGCTCATCACGCTAACTTGCTTTTGCAAACTGTCGCGTTACGTTGTGCAACGTTGTGCGGTACGGTGCGGCGACAATTGGGCGACCATTCAAATACAATTACATGTTATTAATTTGATTGGCGATAATGCAGTTGCAGCAAGAGGTCGGCAGCAGACAAGTTGATAGGCGACAGTTGGTGTTGCAAGCAGGTGATATGCATTGTTGTTAATGTTTTTGTTGTTGTTATTGATAAGTATCATTAAATCACGGTTACAGTTGCAGTTGTGCAGCGGTCCACAAACACACAGACGCATGCATTTAAATACATGTGTTGCACGTTGCAAGTGGCACGTATTGCAAATGTATGCGTGTGTTTAGCATTATTTATGTGAATATATATGGTTGTGTGCGTTGTTATTATTGTTTGACAAGTGATGGCGGCGTTGTGTGGCACACAAATAACGGTGAAATTCCGGCGCACAGATTGTCACGGAAATGCAGCACCGAAATCAGAGCGCGACATTTGTAGATGTATGTAAACATGTTGATATGTATGTATATATATATTGTATATATATATATATAGGTATGTATGCGATTTTAGTGATTTCATGTTGTACATTGCAAGTCGCAGTTGCAGTTGGCGCGGCAAGAAATGGAAAGATGTATTATATATATAAGTAATGTGGCATGAACTTAGCACTGCAGTAATGGTAAGTTAGTTAAGAATGCTAGAAATTTGCTTACATATGTACTGCAATTATGAGTGAAAAATGCGAAAATGCAATTTATTTACAAATATTTATGTATGTACTATGTATAAAAAAGTATATATGTAACATATGTATGTACGGAAAAATTACTTTATATGCAATTAATGTACGAAACGCGCTAAGAAAGCAAGAAATTTAGTCATTTCACGGTAAATAAATGCAAGTATATATATGTACAAGTGTATATGTATTGTTGTAAGAAAAAATATATGGAAAAAACAGCGTGCCTTATTTATGAGTTGTTGCACGTGAAGCAGCTATATTTGTGGCAGCTATGCATGTCAAAAACGCTATTTTTATATGTTTAATATATGAAATATGGATATGTATGAATGCATATATGTACATATGTGTATATACATTTGTATATGTATCTATGTATTTTTATACCCTGAACACATTTTTATTTGACGAGATATCTTCACAAAATTTAGCATGGATTATTGTTTAAGGCAACGGTACAATCTGCGAAGAAATTGTTAAGATCGGACCACTATAGCATATAGCTGCCATACAAACTGATCGATCAAAACCCAGTACTTGTATGGAAAACTTTTTTATTTGAAGAGATATCTTCTTGAAATTTAATATAGATTTTTATCTAAAGTAAAGACGCAATATCCGAAGAAATTGTTTGGATAGGTTCATTATAGCATATAGCTCTCATACAAACTGACCGATGGCACTCAAGTCCTCGTATGGAATACTTTTTTATTTAAGAAGTTATCTCCACGAAATTTGTTACAGATTATTATTCAATGCAGCGCTATAATCTCCGAAGAAATTGTTTAGATCGGACCACTAAAGCATATAGCTGCCATACAAACTGACCGTTCATGCTATACAAAATGCAGGTGTGAAGGGTATTTTAGCTTCGGTGCAACTGAAGTTAACGTTTTCTTTTGTTATTCCATATTTCCATAGCGTTTTTTTTTTGTGCCCTTTCCTAACTAAGTATTATTGCATAAATCACACGAATAAAAATTTAGTTCACCGTTGCCGTTGCCATGGCCTCTGCAAATGAATTGAAATTCCAGCCAAAGCAAAGGAAAAATGAAAACGCTAAAGCGCTGCAGCGAAAAGAAATTTATTGCATTCTTATTATTATTATTTCATGTGATTGTTTTATTGTTGTATTTTTGCTTTTTTTCTGTTTTTCTTTAAACATTCTCCAGTACGGCATAAAAAGCATGGCAATAATAATAGCGTAGGCAATCAAATGTAGAAAATAACGGTTTTTAAAATTCAGGTGAAATAGTGAGTTGTGAAATGTTGATATTCATAAATTCCAACTGAAGTTTATATGTTGTAGCACACAAAATATGCTGTAACAAATTATTTATATTAACTGCAGCCGCTTGCACGTGATTGCCGCATTAATGGCTGAAGAGCGCCGAGTTTGAGAAAGCTTTGATTTTTCTTTGTTCATGTTTGTTGTAAGGGTAAATATATAAAATAAATTTATGAATTAATTCTTCAAAGTTGTAATACAATTGGCTGCAAATTTTCTTAGCCTCAACGCTTTGGTAGAATAGAAACAGGAATTTATGCGAGATAATAAGATAGTTTTATTAACCTTCAGTCACTTTTCTGCTCGCTAAATTTGAGCTTTATTGTCATGTCAAAAATTTTATTTGGAACGGCAAACAGAAATTAGCCATCTTAGTATAATATAGAGAAATAATTGTTTGACTCATCACAGCGGTATAAGTACATACTAAGTTATTTCCATTTGATTATACCAATCTAAACGATTTATACCAGTGCTTTGTTCGATTTACAACTCGCCAAGCTTTGATTTTCAATTTCGTTTGCTGCAAACAACGAAATCTGAGAAGAGTGATCAAAGTGCGAATTATCTTACAGCAAAACAACAAATGATTAAGGGAGTTGTGAAATTGAAATACAGTGTTGGGGATTATAAAAGGAGAACTTCGTGGTCTCGTATATCAAATGGAAATACAAAAGACATAAAGACATATTTGTTATCTAACTGAAACTAAGAATAAATAAAGCATATGATTTTTACTAGCAAAAAATTCTATAATAGTTCTTCCAAATCTATATTTTAAAAGCGTTTCACATATGCTCTTAACAAGTTAGTGTTAGAAGCATAAAAAAGTCTCTCCAAATTATTTATGGATCGACTTAACACATACTGGGGGATGCTCTAATGTGTTTACAAAAAAAACATTCAAAAGAAAACAGTAAAAAGGCTGATCTTATATTTTTCATTCGCATCATTTCGCATGATGAAAACTGAGCTTTTGGATATGACTCTCTAAATCTTAACCAGAAAATAGCGAATAGCCGCCAAAAAAGGTTTTAAGCCAAGAAACCATATCAAAATCAGTTGAAAACGACGACTACCTTAATCTGTGGCTCCATTGTACAATACTATCACACTTCTACTTTATTTGTATTTTATGTGAAATTTTAAAATTATATATTTTGTCTTGTGGATCTTGGGGTGGTATTTGAATCAGGTTTTTACTTTTTAATTTATTTAAATTTTTGTTAATGTTATAGTTTGCTTTTGTTTTACCTTTCATATTAAGTTAATTGTTACAATTTGACACCATTTTAAGGACTTTTCAGGGGTATGATCGAATGTATAGCAGATTTGATTTATTTTCTTGAAAAGTCTAATTTTTTACCTTGAAAAGGGTAACGCGGATTAGTTCCCCAGTTTTTGAGAAATCGATCTAAAATTTTGCACACGTGCTTTTCCGCCTAAGAAGCAGATTGCTTCTCAGAACCGCCAGTATCGGAAATGCACCTGTCAGGGGAATTATTGCTTCGGTGCAGCCGAAATCAACGTTTTATCTTGTTTATTACAAAATTATCAGACTTATACTTCTGCATTCGTATTTAGCACAACAAAGCTTTTATTCGTAACTTAGATTAATAATAAACTTCCTCCATAACATTTAATTTTCTATTGTTTATTGCATATCCGCTTTTAAAGTTATTTGTATTATTTTAGATTTTAATTAAATATTTGTGTTTAACAGAATTTCCGTATTTCACCTGTGCGAAAGAAATAAGGAATGTGTGCTGTGTCATTTCAAAGAATCCAGCTGCAGATTGTATACAAAATCGCAACAACATTCCATAACAGCACAACAGCAAAGCGGAAAAACAACTTCGAAAACAAAACATTTTTTATTGTTGTTGTTTTTTCTTCCTTTCGCACGCACATTTCATGAAATTCAGGCAGCAGCATTTCCTGCATCCTGCATATTTTATCCTTTGGACGTGTGGCGCGAACAATGCAAGGCGAAAACGATAGCAACATTTACATTATGGCCTACAAAATGAAGCGATTTAAGCACTTTTTATAGATACACACACACATTTCGTTGCTTACATTTTTTAATGCAAATAATCGCAGGTAAATGCGTGAATTTGCTGATTTTTATGCAATTGTTGGTTTAAAAGTATTTCTTTTCAACATAATTTTTTATGTTTTACCCATTTTTGACACCACCTAAAGGGCCAACAGTGCTTTTTATAACAATCTGGTTCATAACCACGATAAAAAGTGAGATGCAGTTATGGAACTATTGGCTCGATAGATATAGCAAAGTTTCACTACTTTTTGTTACCCCGACTCTACGTCAGGCAAAGCAACCATTCGAAAATAGATTACAAAATTGAAGACGATGAATCCAGTAGATTTCCCAAAGTGGTTGATAGAGATGACAAACCAAAATTATCTAGAAAACAAGTAAGGAAGGGCTAAGTTCGGATATAACCGAACATTTTATACTCTCGCAAAGTCAAATGGTATACTCGTTTGAGATTTCTTTGTGGATTGACTGATATTTTCGGTAGAAGGTCAACTATAGGCACTGGGGTCCACATATTTAGTACTTAGGGGCTTGAACAGTTTCGGTTCGATTTAGACAATTTTTGGTCAGAAGGTGGCATACTTTAATTGCATTATTCACGCAAAGTTTTGCCCCGATATAATCATTGTTACCTGATTTGCATAGTGGAAAGTGAAAGAATCAGATGGAATTGAAAATGGTGTTACATGGGAAGTAAGCGTGGTTGTAGTCCGCTGTGCCACGCCCACTGACTAATTTTGAACGCGGTTCCTATAAAGCCAATTTATACCATCCCAGAGATAAAATTTAATGTCTCTGGCGTGTTTAGTGCTTGATTTAGTTTAGTGCTTTTAGTAGTTTTTAACAGTACCGTTATATGGGGAGTGGGCGGAGTTGCCACCCGATTTCAACTATTTTCACACCGTCAATATAAGTGCTAAAA